GACCGAAGTGCCCAAGGCTGGGGGAGCTCGTGTCGAGTGTTTTTTCATGATGATGTTTTCATTTCACCTGGATACAGCAATCCCCACAACCCCGGGAGGGGGAACCTGGCTCTTCGCAGCCCAGTTAGCACAGCTCTTGGAATTAGAGGGCGTAAGTCCCTGATGTTTTAGTGGGAATCACGACCTGTGCCAGACACCGGCGAGCCGGGCACCAGCAGCACCGGAGGGCCCCGTCCGTGCAGCACCGGGGGGATGCGGGGCGGGTCCGGCAGCACAGAACCGCGGTTCTCCCGGGCACGGGGCTGGCACGCCCGAACCAAGGCTGGCATCAGGCCTCGTTGAGTTATCAGACACTTACACCCTGAATTAGCACGGGGACACACACACAAGGATGTCACCCTTTCCCTCCTTGTGGGGTCGGTGCTGGTAAGGCACAAAGAGGAACGGTGGAAGATAAACGAGCAGCTCCCCCCCCGCCGGGATTTGAGCAATCAGGAAATATAATCTGAGCTGGAAAATGCCCGAGCATCTGTTGGGTTATTAATAAATTGTATGCAATCTGTCCGGGATGAAGCTCGGGACGGAGGGGAACCATCTGCTCCCGAGCGGCAGCTCTAATGGTGTCTGGGGAATGAATTTTGCAAATGGGAAAAAAGCAATGGGATCGGCCAGCCGGGCTCCCGGCGTGCCCGGACTCCTCACGGCTTTTCCAGGAGGGACAACGCGGGGCTTCCCTCACCCCCGGGACAGGACCCGCATGGATCCGCAGAGAAGGGGGATTCAGGCCCAGCGCGGGTGTTCCTCATCATCTCTGCAAGCCTCGTGGGCTCGGCCAGCTCCCTGGGAATTCAGGCTCTTTCTCGAGATCCTTTCCAGGGTCCTGCCCCAGAGGAACCCCGCTCCCAGGGGCTGTCTTGTGTCCCCAGCCCTGGGCGCGACCCTGACCTCGCCCGCTTTTCCTCTGGGTCAGTGCTAATTGCCGCCCATAAATACTGCTCTCCACGTTTTATCCTCCACCTGTAAGGGCGCCCCATGAGTTTTCTCGGAGGTTTTTCAGCTCAGCTCCTCCCAGCGCTGAGCAGCGAAGGAGCGAGCAGGGCAGAACCCCTTCAGCCCACGGCCAGGGCTCGGGGCCGGCTGTCTCCCGGGAAAACGGGGACTCCCTCAGCGACTGCCAATGTCCGGATGTCACTGATGTTAACTGAGCAAGGCTGGGAGAGTGGCGCGGTTATCGCATGAGCGCTCATCGTTGAATAAGCAACCAAAATGTTTCTTGCTGAAGGACATCTCCGCCTGCCCAGAGTCCCTGTGGGCAGCGTGCCTTCCCTTAGAGGGAGAATCCAGGAGCGGCCAGCAGGCAGGCACCACTAAAACTCTCAACACGTGAGAAAATCCTGGCTCACACAAACCCCGCACAGCGGAACTCCAGTTGAAATAAAGGCTGCTTGAGGACGACACCTCGAGCGACGGGAGAGAGAGGGACAGCGAGGGAAGAGCCGCTGCCAGCGGGGATGAGCGAGAGCCCGGACCCGTTCGGGCGAGGGCTCCATCTCCGGCCAGCGACGCCGCTCCGGAGCCGCCGCCGCCGCCGCGGTTGGGAGGAGCTGCCGGGAACTTCCGGCGGGGCGGGGCGGACGACGGAAGCGGAGGGAGGCGGAGGGAGGCGGAGGGAAGCGGGCTCCACCCACTCCTCGGGCCTGAGGGGCTCCGTGCGCCCCCGGGAGGGACGCAGTGCCTGGGGAGTGGCTTGGCAGTGGCTGTTATTGTTTTTACTATTAATAATTTTTTTTGGTATATTTTATTAACGCGCTTTCCGAGTGGCGCCGCTCTTCTCTTCCTGCGGATTGAGGTGTGGAAATACGGCCAAGCCGGGAGCTGGGCCTCTGCGGAATGAAGGAGCTGACAAGGCGCTGGGTCCCCGGGAGAGCGGGACAGCTCAGGGCCCACCGCGGGTCCGGTCACCAGCATCGCCAGCAGCTTGCCGAAGGTCGGGACTTCAGCTGTGCCAGATCCCGGAGACAGAGGGGGAAGGGGCCGGGTTTGGTGTCCGTGCCGCGCTCTCTGAGCCTGACCCCTTCTATTCGGTGACTGCTGCAGGTGATGAGCAGAAGCGAAGACTAAACGCCGCGGCGTGGGTGCTCCAGCCGCTGAGCCATCACGGCATCTCCTTCCTCGTCCCCCGCTCGTATTGTCCAGGGAGGAATGCCTCGCTGAAAGACCGATGGGTGCCTGTGAGCAGTTCTTTTCTCGGTGCTTAGGGTACTCTTGAATGATAGAAGAGCTTTCGGCCTCAGGAGGCTTTGAAATCAGACCCGGCTTTTCTGTGCGGTGCTCTAACCACTGAACTGCGCCAAAGAGGTGAGAACGACACAAAGACAAATCCCACGATGCGAGTTCGGGACTCGTCTGCCCTTCTGGAGGGAATGGGCTTTTGTTTTCGGATCCTCGTCGACGGAGACAGTTGCCTTGAGGCGGCCGATGTGGAGCTGCTGTGCGGTACTTTCCATCCTGGGAAGGTGGGGCTGGAAGGTTCTTTCCATCCTGTGTGGCAGGAGCGATTCTGCCGGAGCTGCTGCAGCTTCTCCTTCTCTTGCCAATTCTCCGTGCCTGGTCTCCAAGTGTAACTGGAGTAATGATCTAATTTCAGTGCGGGTCTAAACAGAGCATTCCAAACACCCCTCGAAAAGTCTGTGTGTTTCTCCACTCGCTAAAGAACAATAGGAGAAGGACCTTTTGATTTGTGTTTGCCACTGGGCTGTACTTGCTTTTCTAAGAGTGCAGTCCATGAGCTCTGAACTTGGGGTGTAGAAACACGTGTTATTATTTTTCAAGACTTTAACCAGGCTCTCGTCCATTCCTGCCAAATGAAGGAGGCTCAAAGTAACGCTCAGGCACTTGGTGGGCTTTCAGGATGTTAAGATTAGTCGTTTATACTGATTTTTTCCTACAGATCCTCACTGTGGATCACCACTCCGCACGTCTTGCTGCTTAGTCAGAAGCACTGAGAATGCTCTGAGGCTGACCAAAGCTGAAATAGCTAAACCAAGCCTTCCACCAACTCGTGTGCTTTTTGCATTTCTGCTTTTTCTTATGACCGTTGTGTGTTCCCCTTATAGGTGCAGGGGGTATAAAAGGCATCTGTGGTAGTAATGCAACGCTGCAGTGCCTAAGGATTCTCCAATATCACCTCCTACCCCACTGCTACTCAGGTAGTAGCTGAATTTCATCAGTGTGAGAATCCCGCATGGACTGGATCCGATTAATCAAGAAACAACTCTTCCTGTAGGTGATCTTGGAGTCTTTGACTCTGTCTTCGAGTTTAGAAACATTTTTATTTCCATCTAAGCTCAGCTATTTGGCTTATATGGTTGTGGAACCATTTAGTGAAGCTGCTACTTGATGGATATGAAAATTATACAGACAGGTGTTCAGACCAAAATAAAAAAGGACACCGGGTCCTATGTCCTCGACGTCAGTGCTTGTCACCTCATTAACAGCTGTTTTACTGATTTAAAATATCCTGCTACATTTAACATACAGCAATCCTAACTTAGTACGGCTCTTAAGATACTTGTAGATCAAATTTGCTGACATCGACATTACATTTTCACCTCCATGAACACGGCATGAAATACCTCTCCAGAGAAGACCTACTTATTCCAGGTAAGTGAATTAATTTAGGCAACAGGTAAGTAGGGGGAAAACCCTCAATCAACTGAAACAAACTCACCACAAAAATAAAAACAAAACCAACGGAACAAACAAAAACCCAAAACATAACCAGACTAAAAACCCAAACAAACAAAAAAGAAACCCTAACCAAAAAACAAAATCTGTCCTGCTTAAACACCTCTTGTCCTGGATTCACATGGAGCAAACATGATTGATTTGTTGATAGAAGATCATCCCCAGCATCTCTTCCCATCCGTGAGTCAAGACAGTGACCTCTACCCGAACTACTCTATTTCCTTTTGCTACAGAGATTAAAACAAACTGCCAGAAAATTCCAGGAAATTCATGAGTTTGTGAACATGTCTCCAGATCAACCTGACAAAAATTATGTTGTGCAGGATTTTCTTGCCAGTCCTCTGTTATGCAATAGGATCAATTCTGTTGCCTGCACCTGGAAGAAGTTAACAAATGCTGTTCTACTTGATAGATTTGCCTGTGTCTGTTTACCTGGTGAGTGTGAATCTGCAAACCTAGTCTAAGGAAGAGTAGAACAAAATTCGCGTGGGTATTAGGAATGAGAAAATTATGTGCTAATGGATTTAATAAACTCAAGTCCTCGGTGGCAGCAGTGCCTGCCCGAGGCTCCTTTTGCTGTTTACCGTGGGCTGCTCCCCTCGACAGAAGCACTGGAGAGGAGGACCACTCTTTATCTTCAAAGCCTAGTTCCACCAGGTTTTGGGATATGAAATATAAATGGTCTGAATGCCTTCCTCGAGGAGAAAACCCTGTTGCTGGTTGTGATACGAAAATACAGGTAAGTTACAAAGACAGAGTAGGAAGAATTCATCTTTGCATTGATGGCATAGGCCAGACAAAAATGGCATCAGGGATGGATCTGGAATCAAGACATCATTTATGCCCACAGAAAGCCTGACTGCCCACAGCAGCAAGTTTCCATATGAACTGGAGGCACTGCGAAGATCAATAAAGCAGGAACATAAGCAGGTCAGTAGCACAATCATATTTAACAATGTTTTGAGCCTTGGTTTGTGTGCAGAAGCTACAGATGTAGCAGCAGAAGTTATTCCTGTCCTTGGTGCTCCTTAGGGAGGTGCTGTGGCCGCGGGGCCGCTGCCTGCAGGGCCGGGGCAGGTGCTGAATGTGAACGAGGGCGGGCAGAGCTGTGTGGGCATGCGAAAGATAGTGCCCTGAGGCTTCAATTAGTGGTAGGATATCTTCCCACGGCTACGAAATCGGCTTTACCGGCATGGAGAAAGGGAGACTGTACATATTTTTCTTATTTTTATTTTATTTTCTCCCCCCCCCCCCCGCCCCATTAATGAGGAATGTTGTTGTGGTTGGGCAATGTCTGCGTACTGTGGCAGTGATCCTTCCCTCTGAGTGGTACGGAATAGATTGGGGATTTGTTACAGGGATGCTGAATTTGATTAGGGAAGAGTCTTCCCTGATGAAAGGACATGCTTTGTAGCACGTGGGCTGTGTCGTTGGTGACAAACTGCAGAACGTCTGCCTAGCTGGAGATCTCTGCCCCTGCATAAAGAGGTTCTTGCTCTATCCTGGCAGAACTTGTTTGCCAGAATGGAGAAGCAAGAGCTTGCCATCATCATGCAGGTGGAAAAGGAGGCTGCGAGACAGCTCTTCATCGAGCTGTATGAATAGCGTACAGGAGCTGTGGTGGTCCCGTGCTTTTTCAGCGTTCTTGGAGGATTGGTGTGCTGGGCTCCGATGGGTTTGAATCTCCGAAGGAAATATTCAAACAATCTCCTGGGGTTTTGGTGTAATCAAAACCTTTTGCACAGATGTTGAAATATCTGGGTTTGGGGCTACTCTTGTCAGAGTGAGGTGGATTCTCTTCATTGAGATAAGGGGTTCAGGGGTGTGTCCGTCTTCCAAAAGGGGAGGGAAGCGATGGAGAAGGGACAATCTGTCTGTCTTGCATAAATTGCAGAAAAGCAGGAAGCTTGTTCCTCATCTGGAGAGATGAAAGTCGGCAGGAAAGAGGAAGGGGACTCTTGCCAAAAGACAAGTCCACACTCCATGTCAAGAGTGATGTGATCATACGAAAAATTAGTTAAAGAGACAAAGTGGAGGAGAGGAGAGGAGAGGAGACTATGACAAAGAGGAGAAGGAAGAAACAATGCAGAAATAAACGAGAAGTGGAGAAATAAAAGGAAAGAGAGAAAACTGAAGAAACCATATCCTATTTTAGTGACATGTCATTGATGGTATCACTGCACACAAAAAGAAAAGAAGGTGAGAAAGTAAGAAAGAAAGGAGGCAAAAAAAGATTACAAAGAAAAGAAAATAGGGTGAAGCCCTAAATTACAAAAGTACACCAAGTATATAGCAGAAGAATACAGGAATAAAGGAGAAAGCTAAGAAGAAATATATATCCGTAAATTAGCAAAGAAGAAAGGACGGAGAGAAACAGACGAGGTGACCAACACGCACCGAAATTACCTCTAGATGTGGTCCCTAAAAACGTCAGGCTTGCGGAGAGCACCGCGTCCAGCGCTGATGTCCGTAATTAGTGATGATCGCTCCTGTTTGATGATGTCCACCGCGGCGCCGGAGGCAACGAACGATCTACCAGGAAGGCTAAGGAAGAGAGAAGGATTGAAAAATAAGGGAATGAGGAGTAGACGATAGGGCATGACAAGGCAAGGACGAAAATGACAACAAAGAGAAGAAAGGAGAAGTAAAAAAGAAAAAAAAAATAGAAAAGGCAACTGGAAAACTGGACCAGGCTAAGGAAGGAAGACAAGGCAAGAAAGAAAGAAGGAGGAAAGGCAAAAGAAGCAAAGAAATAGAGAAAGAAATTCGACCACAGTAGAAAAACCAGCAGAGCAGACGTCCATGACGGAGCGGAGGCACAGGCTCTGTGTCGGGGCGTGTGAGGCGGCGGAGCAGCGCACGGTGTCGCTGCAGGCTCAGGAACGGCGTGTGGGCGGCTCCGCCCCGGTGCGGCGGAGAGCCCGGCTGTGAGCGCGGGGGGGCGGCGCGGGCCGGGCAGCAGAGCCGGTGCGACCGGGCGGCGGCGGGGAGCCGTGCGGGGCCCGGGCCGGGGCCGGCAGGCAGAGCGGCGGGCAGAGCGGCGGCGGTAGGGATGGAGGAGCGCTGTTGCGCGGCGGTGATGCGGGTGCTGGTGCTGCAGGCGGCCTGGGCGCTGGCGGGCGGGCAGGTGCGCTACTCGGTGCCGGAGGAAGCCAAGGCCGGCACGGTGGTGGGCCGTCTGGCGCAGGACCTGGGCCTGGAGGCGGGCGAGGCGGAGGCGCGGCGGCTGCAGCTGGTGGCGCAGGGCCGGCGGGCGAGCGTGGAGGTGAGCGGGGCGAGCGGCGCGCTGCTGGTGAGCTCGCGGCTCGACCGGGAGGAGCTGTGCGGCAAGAGCGCGCCGTGCGCGCTGCGCCTGGAGGTGCTGCTGGAGCGGCCGCTGCGCGTCTTCCATGTGGAGCTGGAGGTCACCGACATCAACGACAATGCCCCCATCTTCCCCGCCGCCCGCAAAAACCTCAGCATCGCAGAATTGTCTGTGCCGGGGTCTCGTTTCCCGCTGGAGGGCGCGTCGGATGCGGATATCGGAGCTAACGCGCAGCTCTCCTACGCACTCAGCCCCAGCGAGCATTTCGGTTTGGAAGTGAAATCCAAAGATGAAAACAAAATATACGTAGTTCTTGTTTTAACGAAATCTCTGGACCGCGAGACGATTCCCGTTCACAGGTTGGTGCTGACAGCGAGTGACGGAGGCCGGCCATCTCTGACGGGGACAATGGAGCTGGTGATCTCGGTGCTGGATGCAAATGACAACGCGCCCGAGTTCAACCAGTCAGTATATACAGTGCAGCTGCCGGAAAATACGGCCCCGGGAACTGTGTTTTTCCAGGTAACAGCGACAGACAAAGATGAGGGAATTAATCGAGAGATATATTATTCTTTTAGCGACGCGATTCCTGCCAAAATTCAGGACCTTTTCAAAATTGACGAAAAATCGGGGGAAGTAAGGACTGCAGGGGAGCTGGATTTCGAGGACACTCAGTCATATGACCTGGAGATCGAAGCGAGAGATCAAGGTTGGCCCCCACTGTCGGGTCACTGCCGAGTGGAGCTGGAGGTGCTGGACGTGAACGACAACGCGCCGGAGGTGTCGGTGACGTCGCTGTCGGTGCCGGTGTCGGAGGACGCGTCGGTGGGGACGGTGGTGGCCCTGCTGAGCGTGTCGGACCGGGACTCGGGGGAGAACGGTCGCGTGCGGTGCTGGGTGTGGCCGGCGTCGCCGTTCGGTCTGGAGGCGACGTTCGCGGGCTCGTACTCGCTGGTGCTGCGCGAGGCGCTGGACCGGGAGCGGGTGTCGGAGTACGAGGTGGAGGTGCGTGCGGAGGACGGCGGGGCGCCGGCGCTGGGCGCCCGGCGCGGGCTGCGGGTGCCGGTGTCGGACGTGAACGACAACGCGCCCGCGTTCGCGCAGGCCGTGTACACGGTGCTGGCGCGGGAGAACAACGCGGCGGGCGCGGAGCTTGCGCGGCTGTGGGCGCGGGACCCGGACGAGGCGGGCAACGGGCGCGTCAGCTACTCGGTGTGGGAGGGCGGCGCGGGCGGCGGCGGCGGGTGGCGGGCGGCGTCGAGCTACGTGTCGGTGGACGCGGAGAGCGGGCGTCTGTGGGCGCTGCAGCCGCTGGACTACGAGGAGCTGCAGGTGCTGCAGTTCGAGGTGCGCGCGGTGGACGCGGGGGAGCCGCCGCTGTGGGGCAACGCCACGGTGCAGCTCTTCGTGCTGGACGAGAACGACAACGCGCCGGCGCTGCTGCCGCCCGCGGGCCCGGCACCGGAGGCGGGCGCCGCGGCGGCCGAGGCGGCGGCTGCGGCGGGGTCGGTCTCGGTGTGGGAGGCGGGCACGCTGTGGGCGTGGGCGGCGTGGGGGGCGCCGGCGGGGCAGGTGGTGGCGAAGATCCGCGCCGTGGACGCGGACTCGGGCTACAACGCGTGGCTGCGCTACGAGCTGTGGGAGCCGCGGGGCAAGGGCCCGTTCCGCGTGGGGCTCTACAGCGGCGAGGTGAGCACGGCGCGGGCGCTGGACGAGGCGGACGGGCCTCGGCAGAGGCTGCTGATCGTCGTGCGCGACCACGGCGAGCCGGCGCGCTCGGCCACGGCCACGCTCAGCGTGTCGCTGGTGGAGGCCGCCGAGGCGGCGCTGGCCGCGGCCGCGGGATCCTCGGCGTCGTCGTCGGTGTCGCGGTCGGCGGCGGGCGTGGAGCCGGGGCCCGGCGGCGCGGCGAGCGCGGCGACCAACGTGTGGCTGGTGGTGGCCATCTGCGCGGTGTCGAGCCTGTTCCTGCTGGCCGTGGTGCTGTACGTGGCGTCGCGCTGGGCGCCGCGGGCGGCCGTGCTCTCGGGGCCCGGGCCCACGACGCTCGTGTGCGCCAGCGAAGTGGGCAGCTGGTCGTACTCGCAGCGCCACAGCCGCAGCCTGTGCGTGGCGGACGGCGCGGCCAAGAGCGACCTCATGGTTTTCAGCCCCAACTTCCCTCCGCCGCCGCCCGGCCCCGCGCCCAAGGACACGCAGCCGGAGCCCTCCGCGCTCCTCGACACGGTCAGTGGCGATACCCTGCTCGCTTCTATTCTGCCCTCTTTTGCACCTTGTCTCTCGTTCTGCAAGCTGCTCTGTTAGCCGGGCTCCGCCCCCGCAGCCTGAAGGCGATGGGTGCTTTGGTGTGTTAATTTCACCATTGTACTTGCTGCCTTGTCCTTGCAGAGGGAGGGTGTCTCTGTAACCCCTTGTGGTACGCACCTGAAATTCACTGCTGTGGATATTGCTGTGGAATTGTTCTGTCCTAGGATGAAGTCTCTGCTGGTTGCAATGAGAGCTGTCCTGTGATGCCGCGATGTTTCAGTTTTGGAGACAACGTTCCTTCTTGCTGGTTGTGTGGGTTTCCACGAGCTTGCTAAATGTGTGCAGGACAGGCTGTGGTGGTGACAGTCGGTCAGGTGCTGTGTATCTTCTCACTGCCTTTGCTGACTGCTGGCCGTGGTGGTATCACGTGTGGTTTCTTCCCTGGCCTCATGTTCTCTCATTTGTTCTCTACAAGAGATGCAAGGCAAGGTGATCATTTGGACCTGTGTCCTCATGTCATCGCGGAAGCTGGGAAGGCTTTGTGGCCTTTTCATGTTTTGTTTCCCACCCAGTTACTGTTTGCTGTACATATAATTTGCTATCCTAGCTGGAGAGGTGGTTTGATGGTCACTGACCCCTTTTTGTAGGGTTTTTCAATATTTACATTCCGAACACCCTTAAAAGTTCCCAGTAAATCCTTTTCTAAATAACAATGACTACAAAAAAAATCATACAACTAATTTCATGTACATGGTGGATGGCCACTGTCAATGTCCATTTCCACGGGAGCTGTCCCAGCATGACTACTACAGTAAATATTGGTCTTAGATCTCAGAACAAGATGCACCTGCAGAGTCTTCCAGACCGTGCATATGATGCCATCTGTGGGGATTTCGCAGTGCTCTCATTTCTGGGAAGGTGAGCAAAAGTCTAATTGACCCCTGAGGTAAGAAAGGAAATTGTGCCTTGCCACAGAGGTGAATGTGGCATTGACACTGAGCAGGTCCTGGCCATGTCCTGGTTTGAAAGGTGACTTTGAGCACTGGGAAGCCTCCTCTGAGGGAACCTGAAATCATTCGTAACACAATAGGTCGTATCATAGGAGGACTGGGATGGGAATGATATCCTTTTCTGGAGAATAATTGTTACAGACTGGGGGATGGAGGATGCTTAGAGGAAAGCAGGAGGCAGGATGGGCCCAGAGTCTTTCTGCCCAGGATCCTTTCTATGTTCCAAGAGTCTGGTGTTGCAATTCTTCTGCATCATGAGATAATATCTGGTATTGGAATGGCAACAGAGTCCTTTGAGGTTATGAATATCTCCCATCAGAGACAGTCCCTTGTGTTGCCTCTGGCCTGTCATGTGTCATGTGGAAACTGGGTGACAGTTGGTAACATGCAGAGTGATGAACAATTTTGCTGCTGTTTTGGAAGTGTTGTTGTGGGAGGGTGGCACTACAAACTGCTTTCCATGTGTATCGTGGAGCATTTATAGCAGCTTCCACAGCTCTTGTCATGGTGGATCTTTGCTTCATCTCATCAGAGATCATTTTAAGGGCAATTGAAGAGATGGGTTTAATCTGGTTCTATTCTTCCCCTTCTTGTGCTCCTGCATGGTCAGTCTGGGTAGAGATGGCGTGTCCTGTTATCACACATGGCTTATTCTGGTGTCTGGATGTGCGCACCAAACCTCCACATCTACAGAGGTGCCCAGCTCTGGTTTTCTGGTCTTGAAATTGTGCATAGGTAACATTTTGAGTGCACTTGTGCTTTTGGTGTGATCTCTTGAAGAAGATCTGTAGGGATTTGGATCAGTGTTGTTCACGAGTGTAATCACAGAACATTTAAGAACTCAGTTTGTATCTGCTATTGCTGAAAAGGCACAAAGCATCCTGGCATGAGGGGAAAGTCAGAGTCACAGAATGGATTTGGAGAGCTCTGTATATTTGTGCCAGCCATGGGGGAAAGGAGAGAATTTGAATACATCTTTGGGGTTTGGGGAGGGAATAGAGACTTTCTGCTCAACTGTGGAGATCCGAGTTCCCATGGTGTAAGATACAGGATTACAATAGAATCTCATGAGGATGATTCCACCATACAGTGCTGCTCTTCTGGAATCCTATCAGGTCATCCAGAAGTTCTGCATGTTTATGGTACTGTTGTTCTTTCTGGTATTGCTGCTTGTGAAGACATCTGCCCTGCGTGCCTTTAATTACTTGGTTTTGATGTGGAATATTGTTTGTCAATGAGAAGCTTTTTGAAATTTGGGTCATGCCGCCGTGGCTTCTCTGAACACTTCCTAAAAGTCAAAAGAGAAGAGGAATGAGAGCTTTTTGAAAGAATATGTTACTACACCATGTCAAGAGTGTTGAAGATACGGTAAGTGAAGCCCCTTCTTGGTAAGGGAAGAGTGAACAGAGTGTGGAAATGGAAGTAAATTGAAAGCTAGAAGAGTTAAATGGAGGAAGAAAAGGTGGATATAGAGAAAGAGAAGGGAAAAAAAAAAAGAAGTAGAAAAAAGAGAGAGCAAGGGAGAAATTATAAATTAGTTTACTGGCACGTCACTGACACTACCCCTATACACAAAAGGGGAAGAATGCGATAAAGGAAATGAAGAAAAGAAGGAAAGGGAGAAGAGAAAGAAAACGGAAAAGAATATGCTACTAAACAACGTCACAGTGAGGAAATTAGGAATTGAAGATGACAAAGAGAAGAAATTTAAAACAGGATTACTCACGGACGTTGCCTCAAAGTGCTGGTCGTAGCTGGTTGTCAACAGGTTCCGCCTCGGTTAGAATACTGCGTTCCAGCGCTGATTCCACATAATTAAAGTTGGTGGATCCGAATAATTTTGTTTGCAGTGCGGCGCCGGAGGCGGCTGGCGAGGTACCAGAAGGGATAATAAGAGAGCATCGGAAAAAGTCCAAAGGATAAAGTATAAAGGAGCAGTAAGAAAAAACAGCAGAGCTGACGGCCATGACGGAGCGGAGGCACAGGCGCAGTGTCGGAGCGTGTGAGGCGGCGGAGCAGCGCACGGTGTCGCTGCAGGCTCAGGAACGGCGTGTGGGCGGCTCCGCCCCGGTGCGGCGGAGAGCCCGGCTGTGAGCGCGGGGGGGCGGCGCGGGCCGGGCAGCAGAGCCGGTGCGACCGGGCGGCGGCGGGGAGCCGTGCGGGGCCCGGGCCGGGGCCGGCAGGCAGAGCGGCGGCGGTAGGGATGGAGGAGCGCTGTTGCGCGGCGGTGATGCGGGTGCTGGTGCTGCAGGCGGCCTGGGCGCTGGCGGGCGGGCAGGTGCGCTACTCGGTGCCGGAGGAAGCCAAGGCCGGCACGGTGGTGGGCCGTCTGGCGCAGGACCTGGGCCTGGAGGCGGGCGAGGCGGAGGCGCGGCGGCTGCGGCTGGTGGCGCAGGGCCGGCGGGCGAGCGTGGAGGTGAGCGGGGCGAGCGGCGCGCTGCTGGTGAGCTCGCGGCTCGACCGGGAGGAGCTGTGCGGCAAGAGCGCGCCGTGCGCGCTGCGCCTGGAGGTGCTGCTGGAGCGGCCGCTGCGCGTCTTCCATGTGGAGCTGGAGGTCACCGACATCAACGACAATGCCCCCATCTTCCCCGCCGCCCGCAAAAACCTCAGCATCGCGGAATTCACCACTCTGCCGGGGTCTCGTTTTCCGCTGGAGGGCGCGTCGGATGCGGATATCGGAGCGAACGCGCAGCTCTCCTACACACTCAGCCCCAGCAAACATTTTAGAATAGAAGAAGAAAACAGTAACTCTCGCAGTAAATCCCTTTTTTTGGTACTTACGAAAGCATTGGACCGCGAGACGATTCCCGTTCACCGTTTGGTGCTGACGGCGACTGACGGTGGCCGGCCGTCTCTTACGGGGACAATGGAGCTGGTGATCTCGGTGCTGGATGCAAACGACAACGCGCCCCAATTCAACCAGTCCGTGTATAATGTATATTTGTCCGAGAATGCCATACAAGGTACAATAGTGGCAAGGATGAACGCCACGGACCTGGACGAAGGAACTAACAGAGATGTGAAATATGAAATCGATACAATTGTACCGCCCCGTGCCTCAGATTTATTCAGCATTGATGCGAACACAGGGGAGATCAGACTGACGGGCGTACTGGACTTTGAGGAAATTAATTTATACGACCTAAATGTTAAGGCAACAGATAAAGGGACACCCCCACTGTCGGGTCATTGCAAGGTGGTGGTGGAGGTGCTGGACGTGAACGACAACGCCCCGGAGGTGTGGGTGACGTCGCTGTCGGTGCCGGTGTCGGAGGACGCGTCGGTGGGGACGGTGGTGGCCCTGCTGAGCGTGTCGGACCGGGACTCGGGGGAGAACGGTCGCGTGCGGTGCTGGGTGTGGCCGGCGTCGCCGTTCGGTCTGGAGGCGACGTTCGCGGGCTCGTACTCGCTGGTGCTGCGCGAGGCGCTGGACCGGGAGCGGGTGTCGGAGTACGAGGTGGAGGTGCGTGCGGAGGACGGCGGGGCGCCGGCGCTGGGCGCCCGGCGCGGGCTGCGGGTGCCGGTGTCGGACGTGAACGACAACGCGCCCGCGTTCGCGCAGGCCGTGTACACGGTGCTGGCGCGGGAGAACAACGCGGCGGGCGCGGAGCTGGCGCGGCTGTGGGCGCGGGACCCGGACGAGGCGGGCAACGGGCGCGTCAGCTACTCGGTGTGGGAGGGCGGCGCGGGCGGCGGCGGCGGGTGGCGGGCGGCGTCGAGCTACGTGTCGGTGGACGCGGAGAGCGGGCGTCTGTGGGCGCTGCAGCCGCTGGACTACGAGGAGCTGCAGGTGCTGCAGTTCGAGGTGCGCGCGGTGGACGCGGGGGAGCCGCCGCTGTGGGGCAACGCCACGGTGCAGCTCTTCGTGCTGGACGAGAACGACAACGCGCCGGCGCTGCTGCCGCCCGCGGGCCCGGCACCGGAGGCGGGCGCCGCGGCGGCCGAGGCGGCGGGGGCGGGGTCGGTGTGGGAGGCGGGCACGCTGTGGGCGTGGGCGGCGTGGGGGGCGCCGGCGGGGCAGGTGGTGGCGAAGATCCGCGCCGTGGACGCGGACTCGGGCTACAACGCGTGGCTGCGCTACGAGCTGTGGGAGCCGCGGGGCAAGGGCCCGTTCCGCGTGGGGCTCTACAGCGGCGAGGTGAGCACGGCGCGGGCGCTGGACGAGGCGGACGGGCCTCGGCAGAGGCTGCTGATCGTCGTGCGCGACCACGGCGAGCCGGCGCGCTCGGCCACGGCCACGCTCAGCGTGTCGCTGGTGGAGGCCGCCGAGGCGGCGCTGGCCGCGGCCGCGGGATCCTCGGCGTCGTCGTCGGTGTCGCGGTCGGCGGCGGGCGTGGAGCCGGGGCCCGGCGGCGCGGCGAGCGCGGCGACCAACGTGTGGCTGGTGGTGGCCATCTGCGCGGTGTCGAGCCTGTTCCTGCTGGCCGTGGTGCTGTACGTGGCGTCGCGCTGGGCGCCGCGGGCGGCCGTGCTCTCGGGGCCCGGGCCCACGACGCTCGTGTGCGCCAGCGAAGTGGGCAGCTGGTCGTACTCGCAGCGCCACAGCCGCAGCCTGTGCGTGGCGGACGGCGCGGCCAAGAGCGACCTCATGGTTTTCAGCCCCAACTTCCCTCCGCCGCCGCCCGGCCCCGCGCCCAAGGACACGCAGCCGGAGCCCTCCGCGCTCCTCGACACGGTCAGTGGTCCTTCCTTCATTCCCTTCTCTGCTCTTTCTCATCCGTCCTCTTGAGTAGCTGCTCTTTGAAGCCGGGCTCAGTTCACACCGCTTATGGCCGTTGAGTACTTAGCGGGTCCTTACGCGGATGGCAAAGGTGCATTTGAATCTGTCACTACGACCTTGCTGGAGCTCCCTGCTGTTTTTGCAGGCGTCCAGAATATCATAAGGCAGCATCCGTTAGCAGTTCCTGTAGGCAGGTGAGGTTTCGTGCTCTAAATATGAGCTCTGCTCTTGAACTGAATTACTTTTCGGTGCGACTAGAGGTGCCCGGAGGTGTGAGATTTGCAGACAGTAAGGGGGTTCTATTTCTCATGTGTAGCATTTCCACCCCATTTGGCTGAAGGAGTTCAAGACAGCCAGGCTGTGTTGGTGACAGACGCGCAGGCGCTGTGGACAGCCTCAGTGCCATTGCTGACTGATAACCGTGCTGGCATCCATTTGTATTTTTATTGAAAACTGCCCTCCTCCTTTTTAATTATGGTCATGTGGAGGTATGATGCAAGGTGTAAAGTGGATATTCAAGGACGAAATTTCTCTATTGTTCTGCTATAAGACTCATTTAGAAAATAGGGTAGTTGTGGCCAAGATTTCCTATGATCTTCCTATGTTTGTTTTGCAAGTATCCTGCTGTTATGGTTAGCAGTATAAAGCGTTCAGGGAGGAGAGTTTGACCAAGGTGCGTGTTTCACAAGGGAAATTTTTCTGTTATTTTGCTCCAGCTCACGTTCCAGAGGATTTGCATTTCTGACCGGAGAGCTAGTCAAGTATACTGTTGTTTTTTGATGTTCTCTCAAGATTTGCATCAATTGACACATCCACGAGCAAGACTTAAAAGGTCTTTAAAAGTGGAAATTTTCACTTCTGTAATGAAGAAAAGAACAAATAACCTCCAAAATCAATGAATCACCTTTCCCCACCAATTTTTAAGTAACATTCTACAACACAGGCAGTATCATGTATTAGTGTCCTTGCCAGAGTTTTGGTGCTTGGAGCACAAAATCAATGCCAGTGCTGTTTAGAGGTTCCAACATCACATTTGATAACTGTATTCCACATTAGGAAGCATTGGAAATCATGAGGTGTCAGCCTCAGAACATCTCTTAAGCACTGTGTTGGTGATACCATCCGTGGATTTTTATGGTGTGGCATTGCTGGAAAGGATAAGCAATGGTCATGCTGAACCTTGTGCTAGGAAAGGAAACTGTGATCTGTTGTATAGAGTAGGGGGTGGCCCTTTTCTGATGGGAGGGGTGCCCATGAGCAGCAGAAAGACTTGTGTGGGTAAAGTGGAAACCCTTGGGGAGACCATGGATCATAAAAGAAAATATCATGAGGTTATATATTTGCCTTTAGAACACATCTCAGAGTAGGAGAGCGAAGGATTTGTATAGCAAAGGGTGAGACAGGATGGGAACAGAGTGTTCTTGTTGAGGATGCTTTCCTAGGTCCTCAGGGTCTGGAGTGGGAGGCCTTCCTGATAATGAGATGAGAGTGTGATACTGAAATGGCCACAATGTCCCCTTACGAGTCTCTCCACCAGGGCCTGTCACTTCTGCTGCTGCCTGCCTGGTGTAGGCCATGTGTTGGTAAGAGATGGAGAGGGCAGAATGTTGTCTGAGGAAGCAACTTCTTCAGGTTCAAGGTTTCAAGGTGTTGTGGGAGGGGAACACTTCAACTTGCTGTCCTTGTGTAGCCGTGGGCTTCCATAGTAGTCTCCACAGCTGTAGATTTTGTCATGATGATTCCTTGCTCCTCCTCAGGTGGGATTTACAGGGATTTATTTATTACATGTAGTTGTAATCTTATTGTGCTCAACTTCCTTTACCTGTGCACTGCACAAGTGGGCTCAGTAGAGATGGTGTGTCCTGATGTCACATGTGGATTGTCCTGTTATCTGCAAGAACACCCAAAAAGCTGCATGATAAGCCCAGCTCAAGTGGTGCAAGCTGTTAACATGGATGACACCATGAGTGCTCACGTGCTTTGGCACTTGCTGTGTTCCCTTGAAGGAGTAAATCTGTGTGAATTAGGATCAGAGCTGTCACAGCTCTAATCACAGAATTTTTAATAACTCTAACCTGCAGTTCTGTGGTGTTTCTAAGATAGATTTCTGAAGAGAAGCAAAGCATTCACATTGAAGATCATGTAGCTGGGAAGAGCTTTTAGACATTCTGTACTTCTTTTGTGGGGATCATAAAGGAAGATGAGGAAGTACAAGGTCCTGGATCACATGCAGATGGGGTTTACAGGCAGGGCATGTTGCTGAGGTTAAGCAATGTTTGATATTTTGGCAGTGATCCTGGGCGTGGCACTAAATAATGCCTGGGCTTGTGTGATGGGGAGGGTGAATTTCAGTGGGGAGGAGTGCTACCCCAGGGCAGTACAAATGCTGATTAGAACATGGATTGCATCGCTGTGGAGGAACTGGAGAATGTCTGGTTAGCTGTGGAGATCTCATTTCCCATGCCTTGTGACAGAGGATGCCAATAGAAAGTCTTGAAAAAATGCCCACCACATGGTACTGCTCTTCTGGGAGCTTTTCAGGACCTCCAGCAGCTCTCTGTGTTCTTGCTTTCTGTTGTTCCCTGTGATATTACAATTTATGAAGTGACTTGCCATCCATGCCTTTAATCATTTGTCTTTGATGTGCAATTTTTCTTGGTAAAACAGAAGACTTTTTGAAATTTGTGTCATTCTGCCAGCCTTTCTTGGGCCATGGCATCAGTCATCTTCCTGGTCTTGGTCTTCTAGCTGGCATTAAGGGGCACTGTCCCTTGAAACAAGTACTCCTGGTGCTGGAGTTTGTTTTTCTGAAGCAGCAAGCAGTGATGCTACAGGTGAGTTACTCCTTCCAGAAGAGGCTGTGTGTGAGAGACAGGTGTACTTTGGTTCTTGTGATGCCTGAAGTATTAGCTTTACTGATATATTTTCCATACTTTCCAGATTCTGTACTGCATTAGTATATTACTCTGAACTTTATATAAAGTGTTAGCAAGTTCCCCTCACTGTTCAGTCACCCAAAACATTCCTTTTCCAGCCTGAGAACCAAGGACACCATTGCAGCTTCAGACCCAAAAAGTGTAAACAGCAGTGAATTGAGGAGAGCAGTCTGGGAAGATGGGACTGCAAAACCTGGAGCTGTAATTGGACAATTAACCCCAAAATGTAAATGGACCAAAACTTATAAAAGTGTGAAAACCCCTGACCATCTTGGGTGTAGGCTCAGCCAGGCTCATGTACTGCCCAAGGTGTATCCTGTGAAGGCCTTTCAATAAATCCCTACTTTATTCCTTTAACTCCATCCAGTTTCTGTTCCAGCAGCCTCTCAAGGCATCCCCTGTTTATCTGTGCTATCTTCACGTTGGATTAACTAAATATTGCCTGCATTTAAATTCCTGTAGGTTTGGAGCACATTTTGCTCTGTCATTTGATTCTGCTGCTTCCTGGCACAGGGTGAGAAGAGGGAAGCAAAGGCAGATGAAGTGACCTTAATGCTTTTCTAGAAGTAGATGTGCTGGGCATGCAGAGGATGCTTTTTTAAATAGCTCTGCAGGTGAAAAATGAGTCAGGCAGAATTGCTCTTCATCCATGGAAATGAGGAATGTGGTGTCATCATGCTTTTTTTTGCAGTATTTGTTGTAGGATTATCATGCTGGACTCTGATGTGTTTGGTTTTGTATCAGAGAGACTTCCTTGGGTCACTTAGACTATAGGCCTTTTTTTGTATTTTATGTCTGCATGGGTGGACTCTTCTCTGATGTAACAAAGCTGTTCTCTTCTGTATGATTGCTTTGTGGATTTATTTCTGGGTCCTTGATATGACTGAAGGCTCCAAACGTGGATTGGTCCTGAATGAGGAGGAAGCTGCAGGTTCATGGCAGTGGAGGAAAGCAAGAAAACTCTTTCCTGTCATGAGGAATGAGAGGTGGAAGGGGAGAGCCCTTTTGATAAAGGGAATGTCTGTGCTTCATGACGTGGTGCTGCAGGTGTTTGAAAATAATTTCCTTACATGGAAAAAAACACAATATGAGAGACAAGGAAGGCAACAACAGACAAAGGAAATGGAAAAAGTACAGAATGAGGAGGGAAAGAAAAAGCAAGAGAAATAAAAAGAAGATAAAACAGTAAAAGAAAAAGAACAAAGAAGTGGAATAACTGAGGCAATGGAAGGAATCATTGCAAGGAAGAGGAATGAGAACTTTTTCCAAAGGACATGTTCGTGGAGAGTAGTACACAAACCTTTGGAAAGAATATTAGTAAAGGAAATAGAAGCACATAAGAGATAAGGAAAGAAAATGAGAAGGAGGATGTAAAAAATATGACAGTGAGGAGCATGAAGAAGATATAGGGAAAGAGATCCACGAAATAGAAGAGAAATAGAGAAAAAAGAAGAGAAAGAATAACAAAAGAAAATTAAGGAGAAAAGGATCTATCAAGGAAGGCGACTGTACAAGTAAAAAGTAAGACAGAAAGGGAGCAAGGAAGTAAAGAAAGAAGATAATGGAAGTAATAGAATAAAGATAAAGCAAGCACCGACCTTATGTTAGAGCAGAGTTGATTCCTACCAGCCTTTCGCCCGCTTGCAGCACCGCGCCCCGACGCTGATATAGCATAATTAGTGGAGATGTAACTGGCGCTGATAGCTCCAACACTGATGGCCTGAAGCTTCGCAGGAGGGAACGGGCGAATTGCCGGCGGAGGTAAAGGAAAGCGAAGATTGGAAAAGAAGTGAAGATGGTTTAAAGATTAGGGCAGGGCAATAAATGAAAAGGACAGCGAACAAGAGACGCAACAATAGAAATGAACAGGAAGACTATAATGAAAGAGCAGGAAAAAGAGAAGGGAAATGCAAACCAATAAAAACCAGAGAAATAATGGAAGACGAAAGGACGGAAAGCATATGCAAGCAAATAGAAAGTGATAAAGAAAAGGAAATATTAAAAATAGAAGGAGCACAGAGGAAGAGACGGCACAGGAGACAGCCATGACGGAGGGGAGGCACAGGCGCTGTGTCGGGGCGTGTGAGGCGGCGGAGCAGCGCACGGTGTCGCTGCAGGCTCAGGAACGGCGTGTGGGCGGCTCCGCCCCGGTGCGGCGGAGAGCCCGGCTGTGAGCGCGGGGGGGCGGCGCGGGCCGGGCAGCAGCGCCGGTGCGACCGGGCGGCGGCGGGGAGCCGTGCGGGGCCCGGGCCGGGGCCGGCAGGCAGAGCGGCGGGCAGAGCGGCGGCGGTAGGGATGGAGGAGCGCTGTTGCGCGGCGGTAATGCGGGTGCTGGTGCTGCAGGCGGCCTGGGCGCTGGCGGGCGGGCAGGTGCGCTACTCGGTGCCGGAGGAAGCCAAGGCCGGCACGGTGGTGGGCCGTCTGGCGCAGGACCTGGGCCTGGAGGCGGGCGAGGCGGAGGCGCGGCGGCTGCGGCTGGTGGCGCAGGGCCGGCGGGCGAGCGTGGAGGTGAGCGGGGCGAGCGGCGCGCTGCTGGTGAGCTCACGGCTCGACCGGGAGGAGCTGTGCGGCAAGAGCGCGCCGTGCGCGCTGCGCCTGGAGGTGCTGCTGGAGCGGCCGCTGCGCGTCTTCCATGTGGAGCTGGAGGTCACCGACATCAACGACAATGCCCCCATCTTCCCCGCCTCCCGCAAAAACCTCAGCATCGCGGAATTCAACACCCTGCCGGGGTCTCGTTTCCCGCTGGAGGGCGCGTCGGATGCGGATATCGGAGCAAACGCGCAGCTTTCCTACACACTCAGCCCCAACGAGCATTTCTCTCTGGATATGCAAAAAACTGAGATGGACAGTGAGTCCTTATTCCTGGTGCTCAGGAAATCTCTGGACCGCGAGACGACTCCCGTGCACCGATTGGTGCTGACGGCGACTGACGGTGGCCGGCCGTCTCTGACGGGGACAATGGAGCTGGTGATCTCGGTGCTGGACGCTAACGACAACGCGCCCCAGTTCAACCAGTCGGTGTATAAAGTGCAGCTGCCAGAAAATAAAGAACACGGCACCTTAGTCATTAAACTAAATGCCACGGATTTAGATGAGGGGTCAAACAGAAATATCTCGTATTCCCTCGAGACTCTGTTCCCTCAAGATAGAAAAGATGTTTTCGGAATTGACAGAAGGACTGGAGAGATTCGTCTCCTGAAAGATTTAGACTTTGAGGATGTTAGTCTATACCGCCTGCAAGTGGGTGCTACCGATCAAGGAAACCCTCCCCTTTCGGGTCACTGCAAGGTGGTGGTGGAGGTGGTGGACGTGAACGACAACGCCCCGGAGGTGTGGGTGACGTCGCTGTCGGTGCCGGTGTCGGAGGACGCGTCGGTGGGGACGGTGGTGGCCCTGCTGAGCGTGTCGGACCGGGACTCGGGGGAGAACGGTCGCGTGCGGTGCTGGGTGTGGCCGGCGTCGCCGTTCGGTCTGGAGGCGACGTTCGCGGGCTCGTACTCGCTGGTGCTGCGCGAGGCGCTGGACCGGGAGCGGGTGTCGGAGTACGAGGTGGAGGTGCGTGCGGAGGACGGCGGGGCGCCGGCGCTGGGCGCCCGGCGCGGGCTGCGGGTGCCGGTGTCGGACGTGAACGACAACGCGCCCGCGTTCGCGCAGGCCGTGTACACGGTGCTGGCGCGGGAGAACAACGCGGCGGGCGCGGAGCTGGCGCGGCTGTGGGCGCGGGACCCGGACGAGGCGGGCAACGGGCGCGTCAGCTACTCGGTGTGGGAGGGCGGCGCGGGCGGCGGCGGCGGGTGGCGGGCGGCGTCGAGCTACGTGTCGGTGGACGCGGAGAGCGGGCGTCTGTGGGCGCTGCAGCCGCTGGACTACGAGGAGCTGCAGGTGCTGCAGTTCGAGGTGCGCGCGGTGGACGCGGGGGAGCCGCCGCTGTGGGGCAACGCCACGGTGCAGCTCTTCGTGCTGGACGAGAACGACAACGCGCCGGCGCTGCTGCCGCCCGCGGGCCCGGCACCGGAGGCGGGCGCCGCGGCGGCCGAGGCGGCGGCTGCGGCGGGGTCGGTCTCGGTGTGGGAGGCGGGCACGCTGTGGGCGTGGGCGGCGTGGGGGGCGCCGGCGGGGCAGGTGGTGGCGAAGATCCGCGCCGTGGACGCGGACTCGGGCTACAACGCGTGGCTGCGCTACGAGCTGTGGGAGCCGCGGGGCAAGGGCCCGTTCCGCGTGGGGCTCTACAGCGGCGAGGTGAGCACGGCGCGGGCGCTGGACGAGGCGGACGGGCCTCGGCAGAGGCTGCTGATCGTCGTGCGCGACCACGGCGAGCCGGCGCGCTCGGCCACGGCCACGCTCAGCGTGTCGCTGGTGGAGGCCGCCGAGGCGGCGCTGGCCGCGGCCGCGGGATCCTCGGCGTCGTCGTCGGTGTCGCGGTCGGCGGCGGGCGTGGAGCCGGGGCCCGGCGGCGCGGCGAGCGCGGCGACCAACGTGTGGCTGGTGGTGGCCATCTGCGCGGTGTCGAGCCTGTTCCTGCTGGCCGTGGTGCTGTACGTGGCGTCGCGCTGGGCGCCGCGGGCGGCCGTGCTCTCGGGGCCCGGGCCCACGACGCTCGTGTGCGCCAGCGAAGTGGGCAGCTGGTCGTACTCGCAGCGCCACAGCCGCAGCCTGTGCGTGGCGGACGGCGCGGCCAAGAGCGACCTCATGGTTTTCAGCCCCAACTTCCCTCCGCCGCCGCCCGGCCCCGCGCCCAAGGACACGCAGCCGGAGCCCTCCGCGCTCCTCGACACGGTCAGTGCCAATACCTTTCTCATCTCTACATATTCTCTCCCTTTTCTGCACCTTCTGTTCTGTGTTCTGAGTAGTCGCTGCTGAGATCCAGACCAAATTGCCGCGGGCGGTGGGTGCTTGACGGGTGATTAAGGAATTAAAGACACCTTTGCATCTCAGAACTCCTGCTGTTGGGAGGGGAAGGCTTGCTAAAGAAAATGTTGTAGTGGTACCCCTGTGATATTACAGTCCGCAGCTGAGGTTTGCTGATGTTGATATGAATTGTTTTCCCCTAAAATGAAATCCCTTCTCTAAGGAGTCAGCTTTGCAGATAGCACTCTTGCTTTCTGATTCGTAGTGATTTCTCCCGGGTTCAGTATAGGAGAGCAAAAGAAGGAGGCTGTGCGGGTAACGGACCCCCAGGCGCTCTGTACTGCCTTTGCAGAATGCTGATTTTGATGGTATCACCTGTGGTTTAGTCTTTGTCCTCATCCTCTGTCATTTTCCTCTACGAGAGATGTGGGGACAGCCGACGTTTTGGACTTGTGGTCTAATGTGTTTTCAACCAGCAGGGAGTAATTTCACCATTTTGGTTGGTCCAACAGAGACATTGTGAAAATTGGGATGGTGTTCTGGAGCAGTGGGAAGACTTATCTGAGAGAACTGGACATAATTTGTAAGACCATTGTCCATGACATCAGAAGAGATGAATAGGAGATGTGAGATGATGCCTTTTTCTTGAGAAATAATGTTACAAAGTGAGGAATCGAGCATCCCTTGTAGGAGACAGGATTGTCACGGAGTGTTTCTGCCCAGGATTCTTTCCCAAGTTCCAAGGGTCTGATGTTGGAGGCCTGGACCTTGAGATAAAACGTGGTATTGAAATAGCCGCAGAGTCCTTTGAGGTTATGAATATCTCCCGTCAGAGACAGTCCCTTGTGCTGCCTCTGGCCTGACATGTGGAATGTGTTGGGTGACAGTTGGTAACATGCAGAGTGATGAACATTTTTGCTGCTGTTTTGGGAGTGTTGTTTTGGGAGGGTGGCGCTACAAACTACTTTCCATGTGTATCGTGGAGCATTTATAGCAGCTTCCACAGCTCTTGCCATGGTGGATCTGTGCTCCTCTTCAGAGATGATATTTAAGGGCATTTAAAGGGGCGAGTGTAATCTTGTTGTGCTTTTCTTCCACTTTTGCACTCTAGCAGAGTCAGTCTGGGTAGAGATGTTGTGTCCTGTAATCACACATGGCTTATTCTGGTGTCTGGATGCACACACCAAGCCTCCTCACCTACGGAGCAGCCCAGCTCTGGTTTTCTATTGTAGAAATTCTTCCACCAGTTGACGTTTCGACTGGATTTGTGGTTCAGGTTTGGTGTAATTTTCTTGAAGGAGATTGGTGGGGACTGGGATCAGTGTTGTTCATTGCTCTAATGGCAGAACTTTTAAGAAGTCGGTTTATACTTGGAATTGCTGAAAAGGCACAAACAATCCTGGCATGTGGGAAAAGTTAAAGACTCACAGAATGCATTTGCAGCACTCTGTATATTCTTTGTGGCAGGCATGAGATAAGGGGAGGATTTGAATACATCCTTGGGGAGGAAATGAAGAATGTCTGTTTAGCTGTGGAGGTTGCAGTTCCCAGGGTGCAAAATACAGGATTACAGTAGAATACTTCAGGAATGGTTCTACCACACAGTTCTGCTTTCCTGGGATCCTCAGGTCACACAGAAGTTCTGCATAATTTAGGGCACAGTCGTTCTTTGTGATATTGCTGTTAGAGAAAACGTCTACCCAGTATGCCTTTAATTACTTGGGTTTGGTGTGGAATATTGTTGGTCAAAGAGAACCTTTTGGAGTTTGGATCATGCTGCCGAGCTTTTCCTTACTCTTTCACTCATTGCCTCTCTGCTCTTTGTCTTGCTAGATGAGTCGTGGTACTCAAGATGTTGCCAAAATTTGCATTTCAGTACAGGAGAATGGGACGTTTTAGAATTCTCTTCTCTGTCAAACTGCACATGCTTTTATTTTTCTGGGTTTGTTTGTTGCTGTGTTTCCTTCCTGTCTCTCATTGGCAACGTGGCAGATATTTGGGCCATTCTCCATCAGTGCAGGGGATGCCTAGTCCTGTCTTCCAAGACTTTACTTTGAGAGAATTTCTGTACCTTACAGGTCTGCTTCTTTTTTCCCCTAGAAATGTGTAATGGACACTGAAGGCTGTCCAGTTTCTGTGGAACATAAGTGATATTTTTCTGTCCAGCCTCTCCAGAAACACTGATAATGTTAAGCATAATTATCCTTTAAAATCAACATCCCTGCCCCAAAAAATATTTATTTGCTGAAGAAGGAACCAGTTTAGAAGAGGTAAGTCCTAGACCGAATGTGGATTTTCCTGAGATTGGTGTGCTTTAGTTCCTGTTCAGTTGTGGCATCTTTTTGTTGAATCAGCAGAATTCACCCTATTGGACCTACAGAGCAGCTGTTACCTGCTCTCATTCCTTTTCTGATGCTTCCAGGCACAGCCTGAGTGGGTGACAGCAGGTGGGAATGGAGGAGGAACCAAAATTCTTTTCACTAAACAATGTGTAGGAGGTCAAGGGAGTGTTCTTAGCAGCATTATTGTGGTGTTATCTTCGTGGCTTTTGTTGGCTGTGTGACAAGTGGAACATTCTAAGGTGAATGAGAGAGTTTCCATGGGGCCTCGTAGAAACCAAGGTTCTTGGTGTGTTGTCTAGGCAGCAAGAGCCTTCCAGGAAGGAAGAGAACTTTGAACATGCAAGAGGAAATTGACTCAGGAGGTTCATGATGAGTCCTCAGGAGCTGTGGTTGCCCAGTGCTTTTTCAGGTCTTGAAGGAGGGTTGTCATGTTGGGCTGTGATAGGTTTGAGTTCCTGATTGAGAAAATTCCTTAATTTGTTTGAACCCTTTCAGGCCTTTATGCACAGATATACCAATAATTGTGGGCTCAGCTTCTGTGTCAGAGAGTGGTGGAACCTCTTTCGATGTAGCAGAGCTGTTCTTTGCCCTCTGACTGCTTTGCTGTGTTGTTGCTGGGTCCTTGAGAGCACTGGAGGCTGAAGAGTGTGTCCCCTTTCCTGGAGCGAGGGGAAGCTGGAGGTGCACGGACAGCAAGTGTGTTGCTCCCTGTCCACACGAACAAGAGGTGTAGGGAAGAGAAATGAGACCCTGGCCCCAAGGGCGTGTCCGTGGTTCGTGGAAGGGGTGCTGTAGGTATTTTTAAAGGATTTTGTTGAAGGAAAGAATGTCCAGAAGATGTAAATTTGAAGTAGAAGACTCCAGGGGAGGCAACCACAAGAAAGGAGGAAAGATGTAGAAGGAAAACTTGAGGTTTATATTTTTTTTAAAACCCCAGCTAAACAAGGAGGTACATGGAGTCGGGTAATAGAAGAAAAAAGAGAGATATTCCCTAACTAGATTGTGAGGATTTAGAAAATATTTTAGTGAAGGAAAAAAAAAAATCAGGAGAGACAAGATGGAAACAGATGAGGAGGAGGGGAAAGCCACAGGAAAGGGCTAAGTAGGAATGAAAATACATAGGGAAAAAACATGGAAAGAGAGGGAAAAAGGGTGAATGGAAGGGGGAAATACAAATCGCATAAGGAAAATAACAATAACAACAATAACATTAACAATAACAACAACAACAATAATAGTAATAATAATAATAATAATAATGTAAATAATGGACCAATGCAAATAAAAATAAAGCCAGAATGAAATGAAAGTAAGAAATGAAGGAAGAATGGAAATATAAAACAGAGGCTAGAGCTGACCTGCATACACCGAACTAACCAGCAGACATCGAGTGCAGTTGGTTCCTAACAGCCTCTGTTGGAGCAGCACAGCTCTCCAGCAATGATGTTCCCTAATTAGAGCTGATGGTTCCGTATTTGATGGTCTCTGCAGAGCCAGAGAAAACTGGCGTTCTTCCAGCGCAGCTAAAGAATACAGGACAGTGGAAGGAGATGGGAAAGGAGTGGAAAAAAATGGAGAGTGGCATAGCAAGAACGAAAAAGAAGAGAGAGAATGAAGAGAGAGAAAAGAGTACAAAGTAATAAAGGAAAGAGAAACGACCCATGACCGAAAAGAAGGATTTGCAGGGAGCAAGATAAATGAAAAGGGCTGTGAAAAAGAAGAAGAAGAAATGAAAGATGGCGTGGAACGAAAGAGTGAGATACAAGGGCAAAAAAAGAGGAGCGCGACAGCACGACACGGCAGAAAACATACCCATCTCGGGTCGGCACCGCGGGTGCTGTGTGGGAGCGTGTGAGGCGGCGGAGCAGCGCACGGTGTCGCTGCAGGCTCAGGAACGGCGTGTGGGCGGCTCCGCCCCGGTGCGGCGGAGAGCCCGGCTGTGAGCGCGGGGGGGCGGCGCGGGCCGGGCAGCAGCGCCGGTGCGACCGGGCGGCGGCGGGGAGCCGTGCGGGGCCCGGGCCGGGGCCGGGGCCGGCAGGCAGAGCGGCGGGCAGAGCGGCGGCGGTAGGGATGGAGGAGCGCTGTTGCGCGGCGGTGATGCGGGTGCTGGTGCTGCAGGCGGCCTGGGCGCTGGCGGGCGGGCAGGTGCGCTACTCGGTGCCGGAGGAAGCCAAGGCCGGCACGGTGGTGGGCCGTCTGGCGCAGGACCTGGGCCTGGAGGCGGGCGAGGCGGAGGCGCGGCGGCTGCGGCTGGTGGCGCAGGGCCGGCGGGCGAGCGTGGAGGTGAGCGGGGCGAGCGGCGCGCTGCTGGTGAGCTCACGGCTCGACCGGGAGGAGCTGTGCGGCAAGAGCGCGCCGTGCGCGCTGCGCCTGGAGGTGCTGCTGGAGCGGCCGCTGCGCGTCTTCCATGTGGAGCTGGAGGTCACCGACATCAACGACAATGCCCCCATCTTCCCCGCCGCCCGCAAAAACCTCAGCATCGCGGAATTGTCTGTGCCTGGGTCTCGTTTCCCGCTGGAGGGCGCGTCGGATGCAGATACCGGAGCGAACGCCCAGCTTTCCTATGCGCTCAGCCCCAGCGAGTATTTTACACTAGAGGAAGAAAACAGTAACTCTCGCAGTAAGTCCCTGTTCTTGGTGCTCGCAAGGTCTTTAGACCGCGAGACGATTCCCGTGCACCAGTTGGTGCTGACGGCGACTGACGGTGGCCGGCCGTCTCTGACGGGGACAATGGAGCTGGTGATCTCGGTGCTAGACGTGAATGACAACGCACCTCAGTTCAACCAGTCGGTGTATAACGTAGTTTTGCCCGAAAACGCGTTAGAGAGTACTCTCGTAGCGCGGGTGAATGCCACGGATTCCGACACAGGAATATATGGTGAAATTATATATGAGATTGATACTATTGTTCCCCCCTCAGCAGGAGAGATATTTAGCATCGATGCAAACACTGGAGAGATCAGACTGAGGAGCTCCCTGGACTTCGAGACAGTTAGTTTGTACGAAGTACACATTAAAGGCACAGATAAGGGAACGCCCCCGCTGTCGGGTCACTGCAAGGTGGTGGTGGAGGTGGTGGACGTGAACGACAACGCGCCGGAGGTGTGGGTGACGTCGCTGTCGGTGCCGGTGTCGGAGGACGCGTCGGTGGGGACGGTGGTGGCCCTGCTGAGCGTGTCGGACCGGGACTCGGGGGAGAACGGTCGCGTGCGGTGCTGGGTGTGGCCGGCGTCGCCGTTCGGTCTGGAGGCGACGTTCGCGGGCTCGTACTCGCTGGTGCTGCGCGAGGCGCTGGACCGGGAGCGGGTGTCGGAGTACGAGGTGGAGGTGCGTGCGGAGGACGGCGGGGCGCCGGCGCTGGGCGCCCGGCGCGGGCTGCGGGTGCCGGTGTCGGACGTGAACGACAACGCGCCCGCGTTCGCGCAGGCTGTGTACACGGTGCTGGCGCGGGAGAACAACGCGGCGGGCGCGGAGCTGGCGCGGCTGTGGGCGCGGGACCCGGACGAGGCGGGCAACGGGCGCGTCAGCTACTCGGTGTGGGAGGGCGGCGCGGGCGGCGGCGGCGGGTGGCGGGCGGCGTCGAGCTACGTGTCGGTGGACGCGGAGAGCGGGCGTCTGTGGGCGCTGCAGCCGCTGGACTACGAGGAGCTGCAGGTGCTGCAGTTCGAGGTGCGCGCGGTGGACGCGGGGGAGCCGCCGCTGTGGGGCAACGCCACGGTGCAGCTCTTCGTGCTGGACGAGAACGACAACGCGCCGGCGCTGCTGCCGCCCGCGGGCCCGGCACCGGAGGCGGGCGCCGCGGCGGCCGAGGCGGCGGCTGCGGCGGGGGCGGGGGCGGGGTCGGTGTGGGAGGCGGGCACGCTGTGGGCGTGGGCGGCGTGGGGGGCGCCGGCGGGGCAGGTGGTGGCGAAGATCCGCGCCGTGGACGCGGACTCGGGCTACAACGCGTGGCTGCGCTACGAGCTGTGGGAGCCGCGGGGCAAGGGCCCGTTCCGCGTGGGGCTCTACAGCGGCGAGGTGAGCACGGCGCGGGCGCTGGACGAGGCGGACGGGCCTCGGCAGAGGCTGCTGATCGTCGTGCGCGACCACGGCGAGCCGGCGCGCTCGGCCACGGCCACGCTCAGCGTGTCGCTGGTGGAGGCCGCCGAGGCGGCGCTGGCCGCGGCCGCGGGATCCTCGGCGTCGTCGTCGGTGTCGCGGTCGGCGGCGGGCGTGGAGCCGGGGCCCGGCGGCGCGGCGAGCGCGGCGACCAACGTGTGGCTGGTGGTGGCCATCTGCGCGGTGTCGAGCCTGTTCCTGCTGGCCGTGGTGCTGTACGTGGCGTCGCGCTGGGCGCCGCGGGCGGCCGTGCTCTCGGGGCCCGGGCCCACGACGCTCGTGTGCGCCAGCGAAGTGGGCAGCTGGTCGTACTCGCAGCGCCACAGCCGCAGCCTGTGCGTGGCGGACGGCGCGGCCAAGAGCGACCTCATGGTTTTCAGCCCCAACTTCCCTCCGCCGCCGCCCGGCCCCGCGCCCAAGGACACGCAGCCGGAGCCCTCCGCTCTCCTCGATACGGTCAGTGGTCCTTCCTTTATTCCTTTCTCTGCTCTTTTTCATCCGTCCTCTTGAGAAGCTGCTCTTTGAAGCCGGGCTCAGTTCACACCGCTTATGGCCTTTGGGTACTTAGCGGGTCCTTACGCCGATGGCAAAGGCGCATTTGAATCTGCCACTACGACCTTGCTGGAGCTCCCTGCTCTTTCTGAGGGCGTCCAGAATATCAATAAGGCAGCATCCGTGAGCAGTTCCTGTAGGCAGGTGAGGTTTCGTGCTCTAAATGTGAGCTCTGCTCTTGAATTGAATTACTTTTCGGTGCGACTAGAGGTGCCCGGAGGTGTGAGCTTTGCAGACATTAAGGGGGTTCGATTTCTCATGTGTAGCATTTCCACCCCATTTGAGTGAAGTAGTTCAAGACAGCCAGGCTGTGTTGGTGACAGACGCGCAGGCGCTGTGGACAACCTCAGTGCCATTGCTGACTGACAACCGTGCTGGCATCCATTTGTATTTTTATTGAAAACTGCCCTCCTCCTTTTTAATTATGGTCATGTGGAGGTATGATGCAAGGTGTAAAGTGGATATTCAAGGACGAAATTTCTCTATTGTTCTGCTATAAGACTCATTTAGAAAATAGGGTAGTTGTGGCCAAGATTTCCAATGATCTTCCTATGTTTGTTTTGCAAGTCTCCTGCTGATCTGATTAGTAGTATAAAGCCTTCAGGTAGGAGAGTGTGACCCAAGGTGTGTGTTTCACAGGGAAATTTTTCTGTTATTTTGCTCCAGCTCACGTTCCAGAGGATTTGCATTTCTGACCGGAGAGCTAGTCAAGTATACTCTTCTTTTTTGATGTTCTCTCAAGATTTGCATCAATCGTCACATCAATGAGGAAGACTTAAAAGGTCTTTAAAAGTGGAAATTTTCACTTCTGTAATGAAGAAAAGAACAAATAACCTCCAAAATCAATGAATCACCTTTCCCCACCAATTTTTAAGTAACATTCTACAACACAGGCAGTATCATGTATTAGTGTCCTTGCCAGAGTTTTGGTGCTTGGAGCACAAAATCAATGCCAGTGCTGTTTAGAGGTTCCAACATCACCTTTGATAACAGTATGCCCTATAAGGAAGCATTAGAAATCATGAGATGTCAGCCGCAGAGCATCTCTTAAGCACTGTGTTGGTGATACCGTCCGTGGATTTTTATGGTGTGGCATTGCTGGGAAGGATAAGAAATGGTCATGCTGAACCTTGTGCTAGGAAAGGAAACTGTGATCTGTTGTATAGAGTAGGGGGTGGCCCTTTTCTGATGGGAGGGGTGCCCATGAGCAGCAGAAAGACTTGTGTGGGGAAAGTGAAAATCCTTGGGGAGACCATGGATCATAAAAGAAAACATCATGAGGTTATATATTTGTCTTTAGAACACATCTCAGAGTGGGGAAGCAAAGGATTTGTACAGTAAAGGGTGAGACAGGATGGGAACAGAGTGTTCTCGTTGAGGATGCTTTCCTAGGTCCTCAGGGTCTGGAGTGGGAGGCCTTCCTGATAATGAGACGAGAGTGTGATACTGAAATGGCCACAATGTCCCCTTACGAGTCTCTCCACCAGGGCCTGTCACTTCTGCTGCTGCCTGCCTGGTGTAGGCCATGTGTTGGTAAGAGCTGGTGAGATGGAGAGTGCAGAATGTTGTCTGAGGAAACAACTTCTTCAGGTTCAAAGTTTCAAGGTGTTGTGGGAGGGGAACACTTCAACTTGCTGTCCTTGTGTAGCCGTGGGCTTCCATAGTAGTCTCCACAGCTGTAGATTTTGTCATGATGATTCCTTGCTCCTCCTCAGGTGGGATTTACAGGGATTTATTTTATTACATGAGGTTGTAATCTTATTTTGCTCAATTTCCTTTCCTTGTGCACTGCACAAGTGGGCTCAGTAGATATGGTGTGTCCTGATGTCACATGTGGATTGTCCCGATATGTTCAAGAACAGCCAAAATGATGCCTGATAAACCCAGTTCGTGTGGTGCAAGCTGTCCCGCACACTTGAGACCATGAGTGCTCATGTGCTTTGGCACTTGCTGCGTTCCCTTGAAGGAATAAATCTGTTTGGACTGAGATTGGAGCTGTCACAGCTCTAATCACAGAATTTTTAATAACTCTAACCTGCAGCACTGTGTTGTTTCTAAGGCAGATTACTGAAAAGGAGCAAAGCATTCACATTGAAGATCATGTAGCTGGGAAGAGCTTTTAGACATTCTGTACATCATTTGTGGTTATCTTGAAGGAAGATGAGGAAGTACAAGGGCCTGGATCACATGCAGATGGGGTTTACAGGCAGGGCATGTTGCTGAGGTCTGGCAATGTTTGATATTTTGGCAGTAATCCTGTGTGTGGCTCTAAATAAGGCCTGGGCCCGTGTGATGGGGAGGATTAATTTGAGTGGGGAGGAGTGTTACCCCAGGGAAGTAAAAATGCTGAGTAGAACATGGCTTGCATCGCTGTGGAGGAACTGAAGAATGTCTGGTTAGCTGTGGAGATCTCATTTCCTGTTGGGAAGGATAGATAAATATGATTAAGAACCACAATAGTACAGCCAGGACGAATATAACGCCCATACTGGCTGGACAATAACCTTACCTACAGATAGATCCAAAATCCAAATGGACTGTTCGATCTCAACCCCCATAATGTATGGTTCATCCCACACCTGTAACCCTCCCCTGAACCATCAAGTGTCTGTGACCCCATTGGCCCAAGTCCTGTTCCAGCCCACCTTGGAGCCCCCCTTGATAAAGGGTCTCCGGGGAGCCAGACGCTCTCTTGGATCTTCCCCTCCCCTCTTGGAACTTCCTCCTGGAGTCTCTGCTCCCCCCTTTGTCTCTCCCGTCCCTCATCACCACAGGCCCTGCCGCGTGCTGTGTCTAGTAGCTCGAGGCAGGGCCTCTCTCCATCTTGAATAAACCTTATCCTCCAAGAGCAACCAACAGAGATCTCTCATCTGTATCCACCCAAACCGTCCGTGGAACCAATCAAACGTCTTTACAATTTCCCATACCTTATGACAGAGGATGTCAACAGAAAGCCTTGAAAAAATGCCCACGGCATAATGCTGCTCTTCTGGGAGCTTCTCAGGACCTCCAGCAGCTCTCTGTGTTCTTGCTTTCTGTTGTTCCCTGTGATATTACAATTTATGAAGTGACTTGCCATCCATGCCTTTAAACATTTGTCTTTGATGTGGAATTTTCTTGGTAAAACAGAAGACTTTTTGAAATTTGTGTCATTCTGCCAGCCTTTCTTGGGCCATGGCATCAGTCATCTTCCTGGTCTTGGTCTTCTAGCTGGCATTAAGGGGCACTGTCCCTTGAAACAAGTACTCCTGGTGCTGGAGTTTCTTTTTCTGAAGCAGCAAGCAGTGATGCTACAGGTGAGTTACTCCTTCCAGAAGAGGCTGTGTGTGAGAGACAGGTGTACTTTGGTTCCTGTGATGCCTTAACTTTTAGCTTTACTGATATATTTTCCATATTTTCCAGATTCTGTACTACATTAGTATATAACTCTGGACTTTATATAAAGTGTTAGCAAGTTCTCCTCACTGTTTAGTCACCCAAAACATTCCTTTTCCAGCCTGAGAACCATAGGACATCATTGCAGCTTCAGGCCCAAAAAGTGTAAACAGCAGTGAATTGAGGAGAGCAGTCTGGGAAGATGGGACTGCAAAACCTAGAGCTGTAATTGGACAATTAACCCCAAAATGTAAATGGACCAAAACTTATAAAAATGTGAAAACTCATGACCATCTTGAGTGTAAACTTTGCCAGGCTCGTGTACTGCCCAAGGTGTATCCTGTGAGGACCTTTTAATAAATCCCTACTTTATTCCTTTAACTCCATCCAGTCTCTGTTCCAGGCAGCCTCTCAAGGCATTCCCTGTTTATCTGTGGTATCTTCACGTTGGCTTGACTACTTATTGCCTGCACTGAAATTCCTGTAGGTTTGGAGCACATTTTGCTCTGTCATTTGATTCTGCTGCTTCCTGGCACAGGGTGAGAAGAGGGAAGCAAAGGCAGATGGAGAAGTGACCTTAATGCTTTTCTAGGAGTAGATATGCTGGGCATGCAGAGGATGCTTTCAGTGTCAGTGACATGGTGAATTTTGTAATAGCTCTGCAGGCAGGTGAAAAATGAGTCAGGCAGAATTGCTCTTCACCAGGTAAATGAGGACAGTGGTGTCATCATGCTATTTTTTACAGTGTTCTTGGAGAATTATCATGCTGGACTCAGATGGGTTTGCTTGTGTAAATGAGAGACTTCCTTGGGTCACTTAGACTCTTCAGCTTTTTTTGTATTTTATGTCTGCATGGGTGGACTCTTCTCTGATGTAACAAAGCTGTTCTCTACTCCATGATTGCTTTGTGGATTTATTTCTGGGTCCTTGAGTTGACTGAAGGCTCCAAATGTGGATTGGATCCTGAAGGGAGAGGAAGCTGCAGGTTCATGGCAGTGGAGGAAAGCAAGAAAACTCCTTCCTGTCATGAGGAATGAGAGTTGGAAGAGGAGAACCTTTTTGCTAAAGGGAATGTCTGTGCTTCATGACTTTGTGGTGTAGCTGTTTGAAAAACATTTTCTTAAATGGAACAAAACCCCTAATAGTTGATACAAGTAAGGAAGCAACAGACAAGTGGAGGGAAATGACTACACAACGAGGAGAGAAAGAAAAAGCAAAGGGGAAAAATATAAAACAAGAAAAGAAAAAGTACAAAGAAGAAATGGAATAAAAGAAGCAATGGAGGCAATGGCTGCAAGGAAGAGGAATGAGAACGTTTTCCAAAGGACATGTTCGTGGAGAATATTATCTGAACATTTGGAAAGAATATTAGTAAAGGAAATAGAAGCACATAAGAGATAAGGAAAGAAAATGAGAAGGAGGATGTAAAAAATATGACAGTGAGGAGCATGAAGAAGATATAAGGAAAAAGAACTACGGAATAGAAGGGTAATAAAGAAAAAAAAGATAAATAATAGCAAAATATAATGAAGGCAAAAAGGATCTATCAAGGAAGATGACTGTACAAGTTATAAGTAAGACAGAAAGGGAGCAAGGAAGTAAAGAAGAGAATGGAAGTAATAGAATGAAGATAAAGCAAAAACAGACCTTATGTTGAGAGCAGAGATGGCTCCTTTCCGCCGGTTGCTGCACCGCGCCCCGACGCTGATATACCACAGTTAGTGGAGATATAACATAATTAGCGCTGATAACTCCAACAATGATGGCCTGACCCGTCGCAGGAGGGACCGGGCGAATTGCCGGGGCGGGGTAAAGAAGAGCGAAGATTGGAAAGAAGTAAAGATGGCTTAAAGATTAGGGCAGGACAATAAATGAAAAGGACAGCGAACAGGAGACATAACAATAGAAAAGAACAGGAAGACTATAAAGGAAAGAGAAGAGAAATGCAAACCAAAGAAAACGAGAGAAATAATGCAAGACGAAAGGACGGAAAGCATATGCAAGCAAATAGCAAGTGATAAAGAAAAGGAAATATTAAAAATAGAAGGAGCACAGAGGAAGAGAGGGCAAAGGAGACAGCCATGACGGAACGGAGGCACAGGCGCAGTGTCGGGGCGTGTGAGGCGGCGGAGCAGCGCACGGTGTCGCTGCAGGCTCAGGAACGGCGTGTGGGCGGCTCCGCCCCGGTGCGGCGGAGAGCCCGGCTGTGAGCGCGGGGGGGCGGCGCGGGCCGGGCAGCAGAGCCGGTGCGACCGGGCGGCGGCGGGGAGCCGTGCGGGGCCCGGACCCGGGCCGGGGCCGGCAGGCAGAGCGGCGGGCAGAGCGGCGGCGGTAGGGATGGAGGAGCGCTGTTGCGCGGCGGTGATGCGGGTGCTGGTGTTGCAGGCGGCCTGGGCGCTGGCGGGCGGGCAGGTGCGCTACTCGGTGCCGGAGGAAGCCAAGGCCGGCACGGTGGTGGGCCGTCTGGCGCAGGACCTGGGCCTGGAGGCGGGCGAGGCGGAGGCGCGGCGGCTGCGGCTGGTGGCGCAGGGCCGGCGGGCGAGCGTGGAGGTGAGCGGGGCGAGCGGCGCGCTGCTGGTGAGCTCGCGGCTCGACCGGGAGGAGCTGTGCGGCAAGAGCGCGCCGTGCGCGCTGCGCCTGGAGGTGCTGCTGGAGCGGCCGCTGCGCGTCTTCCATGTGGAGCTGGAGGTCACCGACATCAACGACAATGCCCCCATCTTCCCCGCCGCCCGCAAAAACCTCAGTTTACCAGAGAACTCACCTGCTGGATCTCGTTTCCCGCTGGAGGGCGCGTCGGATGCGGATATCGGAGCGAATGCTCAGCTCTCCTACACACTCAGCTCCAGCGAACATTTCGGTTTGGAAGTGAAACATAAAGACGAAAACAAAATCTCCGTACTGCTGGTATTAACGAAATCTCTGGACCGCGAGACGATTCCCGTTCACCGATTGGTGCTGACGGCGACTGACGGTGGCCGGCCGTCTTTGACGGGGACAATGGAGCTGGTGATCTCGGTGCTGGATGCGAACGACAACGCGCCCCAGTTCAACCAGTCGGTATATAAGGTTAAGCTACCGGAAAATACGGTCCCGGGAACTGTGTTTTTCCAGGTAACAGCGACAGACAAAGATGAGGGAATTAATCGAGAGGTATCATACTCTTTTAGTGACGCGATTTCTGCCAAAATTCAGGACCTTTTCAAAATAGACGAAAAGTCAGGGGAAGTCCGGACTGCCGGGCAGCTGGATTTCGAGGACACTCAGTCATATGACCTGGAGATAGAAGCGAGAGATAAAGGTTGGCCCCCGCTGTCGGGTCACTGCCAAGTGGAGCTGGAGGTGCTGGACGTGAACGACAACGCGCCGGAGGTGTGGGTGACGTCGCTGTCGGTGCCGGTGTCGGAGGACGCGTCGGTGGGGACGGTGGTGGCCCTGCTGAGCGTGTCGGACCGGGACTCGGGGGAGAACGGTCGCGTGCGGTGCTGGGTGTGGCCGGCGTCGCCGTTCGGTCTGGAGGCGACGTTCGCGGGCTCGTACTCGCTGGTGCTGCGCGAGGCGCTGGACCGGGAGCGGGTGTCGGAGTACGAGGTGGAGGTGCGTGCGGAGGACGGCGGGGCGCCGGCGCTGGGCGCCCGGCGCGGGCTGCGGGTGCCGGTGTCGGACGTGAACGACAACGCGCCCGCGTTCGCGCAGGCCGTGTACACGGTGCTGGCGCGGGAGAACAACGCGGCGGGCGCGGAGCTGGCGCGGCTGTGGGCGCGGGACCCGGACGAGGCGGGCAACGGGCGCGTCAGCTACTCGGTGTGGGAGGGCGGCGCGGGCGGCGGCGGCGGGTGGCGGGCGGCGTCGAGCTACGTGTCGGTGGACGCGGAGAGCGGGCGTCTGTGGGCGCTGCAGCCGCTGGACTACGAGGAGCTGCAGGTGCTGCAGTTCGAGGTGCGCGCGGTGGACGCGGGGGAGCCGCCGCTGTGGGGCAACGCCACGGTGCAGCTCTTCGTGCTGGACGAGAACGACAACGCGCCGGCGCTGCTGCCGCCCGCGGGCCCGGCACCGGAGGCGGGCGCCGCGGCGGCCGAGGCGGCGGCTGCGGCGGGGGCGGTCTCGGTGTGGGAGGCGGGCACGCTGTGGGCGTGGGCGGCGTGGGGGGCGCCGGCGGGGCAGGTGGTGGCGAAGATCCGCGCCGTGGACGCGGACTCGGGCTACAACGCGTGGCTGCGCTACGAGCTGTGGGAGCCGCGGGGCAAGGGCCCGTTCCGCGTGGGGCTCTACAGCGGCGAGGTGAGCACGGCGCGGGCGCTGGACGAGGCGGACGGGCCTCGGCAGAGGCTGCTGATCGTCGTGCGCGACCACGGCGAGCCGGCGCGCTCGGCCACGGCCACGCTCAGCGTGTCGCTGGTGGAGGCCGCCGAGGCGGCGCTGGCCGCGGCCGCGGGATCCTCGGCGTCGTCGTCGGTATCGCGGTCGGCGGCGGGCGTGGAGCCGGGGCCCGGCGGCGCGGCGAGCGCGGCGACCAACGTGTGGCTGGTGGTGGCCATCTGCGCGGTGTCGAGCCTGTTCCTGCTGGCCGTGGTGCTGTACGTGGCGTCGCGCTGGGCGCCGCGGGCGGCCGTGCTCTCGGGGCCCGGGCCCACGACGCTCGTGTGCGCCAGCGAAGTGGGCAGCTGGTCGTACTCGCAGCGCCACAGCCGCAGCCTGTGCGTGGCGGACGGCGCGGCCAAGAGCGACCTCATGGTTTTCAGCCCCAACTTCCCTCCGCCGCCGCCCGGCCCCGCGCCCAAGGACACGCAGCCGGAGCCCTCCGCGCTCCTCGATACGGTCAGTGGCGATACCCTGCTCGCTTCTATTCTGTCCCCTTTTGCACCTTGTCTCTCGTTCCGTAAGGTGATCTGTTAGCCGGGCTCCGCCCCCGCAGCCTGAAGGCGATGGGTGCTTTGGTGTGTTAATTGCATCGTTGTACCTGCTACCTCGTCCTTGCAGAGGGAGGGTGTCTCTGTAACCCCTTGTGGTACCCACCTGAAATTTACTGCTGTGGATATTGCTGTGGAATTGTTCTGCCCTAGGATGAAGTCTCTGCTGATTACAATGAGAGCTGTCCTGTGATGCCGCGGTGTTTCAGTTTTGGAGAGAACGTTCCTTCTTGCTGGTTGTGTGGGTTTCCACGAGCTTGCTAAATGTGTGCAGGACAGGCTGTGGTGGTGACAGTCTGTCAGGTGCTGTGTATCTCCTCACTGGCCGGGGTAGTATCACGTGTGGTTTCTTCCCTGGCCTCATGTTCTCTCATTTGTTCTCTACAAGAGATGCAAGGCAAGGTGATCATTTGGACCTGTGTCCTCATGTCATCACGGAAGCTGGGAAGGCTTTGTGGCCTTTTCATATTTTGTTTCCCACCCAGTTACTGTTTGCTGTAGTTATAATTTGCTATCCTAGCTGGAGAGGTAGTTTGATGGTCACTGACCCCTTTTGTGTATGGTTTTTATATATTTACATTCCGAACACCCTTAAAAGTTCCCTGTAAATCCTTTTCTAAATAACAATGACTACAAAAAAAATCATACAACTAATTTCTTGTACATGGTGGATGGCCACTGTCAATGTCCATTTCCACGGGAGCTGTCCCAGCATGACTACTACAGGAAATATTGGTCTTAGATCTCAGAACGAGATGCACCTGCAGAGTCTTCCAGACCGTGTATATGATGCCATCTCTGGGGATTTCGCAGTGCTTTCATTGCTGGGAAGGTGAGCAAAAGTCTAATTGACCCCTGAGGTAAGAAAGGAAATTGTGCCTTGCCACAGAGGTGAATGTGGCAGTGACACTGAGCAGGTCCTGGCCATGTCCTGGTTTGAAAGGTGACTTTGAGCACTGGGAAGCCTCCTCTGAGGGAACCTGAAATCATTCGTAACACAATAGGTCATATCATAGGAGGACTGGAATGGGAATGATATCCTTTTCTGGAGAATAATTGTTACAGACTGGGGGATGGAGGATGCTTAGAGGAAAGCAGGAGGCAGGATGGGCCCAGAGTGTTTCTGCCCGGGATCCTTTCTATGTTCCAAGAGTTTGGTGTTGCAATTCTTCTGCATGATGAGATAATATCTGGTATTGCAATGGCCACAGAGTCCTTTGAGGTTATGAATATCGCCCGTCAGAGACAGTCCCTTGTGCTGCCTCTGGCCTGCCACGTGGCATGGGCTGGGTGACAGCTGGTAACATGCAGAGTGTTGAACATTTTTGCTGCTGTTTTGGAAGTGTTGATGTGGGAGTGTGGCACTACAAACTGCTTTCCATGTGTATCGTGGAGCATTTATAGCAGCTTCCACAGCTCTTGCCATGGTGGATCTTTGCTTCATCTCATCAGAGATAATTTTTAAGGGCAATTGAAGAGATGGGTTTCATCTGGTTCTATTCTTCCGCATCTTGTGCTCCTGCATGATCAGTCTGGATAGAGATGGCGTGTCCTGTTATCACACATGGCTTATTGTGGTGTCTGGATGTGCCCACCAAACATCCACATCTACAGAGTTGCCCTGCTCTGGTTTTCTGGTCCTGAAATTGTGCATAGGTAACATTTTGAGTGCACTTGTGCTTTTGGTGTGATCTCTTGAAGAAGATCTGTGGGGGTTGGGATCAGTGTTGTTCACGAGTCTAATCACAGAACATTTAAGAACTCGGTTTGTATCTGCTATTGCTGAAAAGGCACAAAGCATCCTGGCATGAGGGGAAAGTCAGAGTCAGAGAATGGATTTGGAGCAGTCTGTATATTTGTGCCAGCCATGGGGGAAAGGAGAGAATTTGAATACATCTTTGGGGTTTGGGGAGGGAATAGAGACTTTCTGCTTAACTGTGGAGATCCCAGTTCCCAGGGTGTAAGATACAGGATCACAATAGAATATCGGGAGGGGGATCCCACCATACAGTGCTGCTCTTCTGGTATCCTACGAGGGCGTCCAGAAGTTCTGCATATCTTAGGGTACTTTTGTTCTTTCTGGTATTGCTGCTTGTGAAGACATCTGCCCTGCGTGCCTTTAATTACTTGGTTTTGATGTGGAATATTGTTTGTCAATGAGAAGCTTTTTAAAATTTGGGTCATGCTGCCGTGGCTTCTTTGAACACTTCCCCATAAGGGAAGAGGAATGAGAGCTTTTTCCAAAGAATATGTTCCAACACCACATGAAGGATTTTGAAGTGATTGGAAGACAGTTCCTTTTTTGGTAAGGAAAAGTGAACAGAGTGTGGAAATGGAAGTAAATTGAAAGCTATAAGAGTGCAGAGAAGGAAGCAGGATGGATAAAAAAAAATAGAAGAAAGAATAAAGTAAAAGAAGAAGAGAGAGAGAAACGGACAACATATAACTGGGTTTACTGGCATGTTACCGAAACTACCCCTATACACAAAAATGGAAGAAGGCAACAAATGAAAGAAAATAAGAAGGAAAGGAATAACAGAAAGAAAACTGGAAAGAATATGCTACTAAATAATGGCACTATGAGGTAATTAAGAATGGAAGATGACAAAGAGAAGAAATTTAAAACAGGATTACTCACGGACGTTGCCTCAAAGTGCTGGTTGGAGCTGGTTGTCAACCGGTTCTGCCTCGGTTAGAATACTGCGTTCCAGTGCTGATTCCACATAATTAAAGTTGGTGGATCCGAATAATTTTGTTTGCAGAGTGCCGCCGGATGCGGCTGGCGAGGTACCAGAAGGGATGAGACGAGATCATCGGAAAAGGTCCAAAGGATAAAGTATAAAGGCGCAGTGTAAGAAGAAAAAGCAGAGGAGATGGCCATGAAGGCAGAGGACACACAGGCTCTGTGTCGGGGCGTGTGAGGCGGCGGAGCAGCGCACGGTGTCGCTGCAGGCTCAGGAACGGCGTGTGGGCGGCTCCGCCCCGGTGCGGCGGAGAGCCCGGCTGTGAGCGCGGGGGGGCGGCGCGGGCCGGGCAGCAGCGCCGGTGCGACCGGGCGGCGGCGGGGAGCCGTGCGGGGCCCGGGCCGGGGCCGGCGGGCAGAGCGGCGGGCAGAGCGGCGGCGGTAGGGATGGAGGAGCGCTGTTGCGCGGCGGTGATGCGGGTGCTGGTGCTGCAGGCGGCCTGGGCGCTGGCGGGCGGGCAGGTGCGCTACTCGGTGCCGGAGGAAGCCAAGGCCGGCACGGTGGTGGGCCGTCTGGCGCAGGACCTGGGCCTGGAGGCGGGCGAGGCGGAGGCGCGGCGGCTGCGGCTGGTGGCGCAGGGCCGGCGGGCGAGCGTGGAGGTGAGCGGGGCGAGCGGCGCGCTGCTGGTGAGCTCGCGGCTCGACCGGGAGGAGCTGTGCGGCAAGAGCGCGCCGTGCGCGCTGCGCCTGGAGGTGCTGCTGGAGCGGCCGCTGCGCGTCTTCCATGTGGAGCTGGAGGTCACCGACATCAACGACAATGCCCCCATCTTCCCCGCCGCCCGCAAAAACCTCAGCATCGCGGAATCCTCTGTGCCGGGGTCTCGTTTCCCGCTGGAGGGCGCGTCGGATGCGGATATCGGAGCGAACGCGCAGCTTTCCTATACACTCAGCTCCAGCGAACATTTTAGACTAGAAGAAGAAAACAGTAATTCTCGCAGTAAATCCCTTTTTTTGGTACTCACGAAAGCATTGGACCGCGAGACGATTCCCGTTCACCGGTTGGTGCTGACAGCGAGTGACGGTGGCCGGCCGTCTCTGACGGGGACAATGGAGCTGGTAATCTCGGTGCTGGATGCGAACGACAACGCGCCCCAGTTCAACCAGTCCGTGTATAATGTATATTTGTCCGAGAATGCCATACAAGGTACAATAGTGGCAAGGATGAACGCCACGGACCTGGACGAAGGAAGTAATAGAGATGTGAAATATGAAATCGATACAATTGTTCCCCCCCGTGCCTCAGATTTAGTCAGCATTGATGCGAACACAGGGGAGATCAGACTGACGGGCGTACTGGACTTTGAGGAAATTAATTTATACGACCTAAATGTTAAGGCAACAGATAAAGGGACACCCCCACTGTCGGGTCACTGCAAGGTGGTGGTGGAGGTGGTGGACGTGAACGACAACGCGCCGGAGGTGTGGGTGACGTCGCTGTCGGTGCCGGTGTCGGAGGACGCGTCGGTGGGGACGGTGGTGGCCCTGCTGAGCGTGTCGGACCGGGACTCGGGGGAGAACGGTCGCGTGCGGTGCTGGGTGTGGCCGGCGTCGCCGTTCGGTCTGGAGGCGACGTTCGCGGGCTCGTACTCGCTGGTGCTGCGCGAGGCGCTGGACCGGGAGCGGGTGTCGGAGTACGAGGTGGAGGTGCGTGCGGAGGACGGCGGGGCGCCGGCGCTGGGCGCCCGGCGCGGGCTGCGGGTGCCGGTGTCGGACGTGAACGACAACGCGCCCGCGTTCGCGCAGGCCGTGTACACGGTGCTGGCGCGGGAGAACAACGCGGCGGGCGCGGAGCTGGCGCGGCTGTGGGCGCGGGACCCGGACGAGGCGGGCAACGGGCGCGTCAGCTACTCGGTGTGGGAGGGCGGCGCGGGCGGCGGCGGCGGGTGGCGGGCGGCGTCGAGCTACGTGTCGGTGGACGCGGAGAGCGGGCGTCTGTGGGCGCTGCAGCCGCTGGACTACGAGGAGCTGCAGGTGCTGCAGTTCGAGGTGCGCGCGGTGGACGCGGGGGAGCCGCCGCTGTGGGGCAACGCCACGGTGCAGCTCTTCGTGCTGGACGAGAACGACAACGCGCCGGCGCTGCTGCCGCCCGCGGGTCCGGCACCGGAGGCGGGCGCCGCGGCGGCCGAGGCGGGGGCGGCGGGGGCGGGGGCGGTCTCGGTGTGGGAGCCGGGCACGCTGTGGGCGTGGGCGACGTGGGGGGCGCCGGCGGGGCAGGTGGTGGCGAAGATCCGCGCCGTGGACGCGGACTCGGGCTACAACGCGTGGCTGCGCTACGAGCTGTGGGAGCCGCGGGGCAAGGGCCCGTTCCGCGTGGGGCTCTACAGCGGCGAGGTGAGCACGGCGCGGGCGCTGGACGAGGCGGACGGGCCTCGGCAGAGGCTGCTGATCGTCGTGCGCGACCACGGCGAGCCGGCGCGCTCGGCCACGGCCACGCTCAGCGTGTCGCTGGTGGAGGCCGCCGAGGCGGCGCTGGCCGCGGCCGCGGGATCCTCGGCGTCGTCGTCGGTGTCGCGGTCGGCGGCGGGCGTGGAGCCGGGGCCCGGCGGCGCGGCGAGCGCGGCGACCAACGTGTGGCTGGTGGTGGCCATCTGCGCGGTGGCGAGCCTGTTCCTGCTGGCCGTGGTGCTGTACGTGGCGTCGCGCTGGGCGCCGCGGGCGGCCGTGCTCTCGGGGCCCGGGCCCACGACGCTCGTGTGCGCCAGCGAAGTGGGCAGCTGGTCGTACTCGCAGCGCCACAGCCGCAGCCTGTGCGTGGCGGACGGCGCGGCCAAGAGCGACCTCATGGTTTTCAGCCCCAACTTCCCTCCGCCGCCGCCCGGCCCCGCGCCCAAGGACACGCAGCCGGAGCCCTCCGCGCTCCTCGACACGGTCAGTGGCGATACCCTGCTCGCTTCTATTCTGTCCCCTTTTGCAGCTTGTCTCTCGTTCCATTAGCTGCTTTGTTAGCCGGTCTCCGCCTCCGCAGCCTGAAGGCGACGGGTGCTTTGGTGTGTTAATTTCACCATTGTACTTGCTGCCTCGTCCTTGCAGAGGGAAGGTGTTTCTGTAACCCCTTGTGGTACGCACCTGAAATTTACTGCTGTGGATATTGCTGTGGAATTGTTCTGCCCTAGGATGAATCCTCTGCTGGTTGCAATGAGAGCTGTCCTGTCATGCCGCGATGTTTCAGTTTTGGAGAGAACGTTCCTTCTTGCTGGTTGTGTGGGTTTCCACGAGCTTGCTAAATGTGTGCAGGACAGGCTGTGGTGGTGACAGTCTGTCAGGTGCTGTGTATCTCCTCACTGCCTTTGTTGACTGCTGACCTGTGGTTTCTTCCCTGGCCTCATGTTCTCTCATTTGTTCTCTACAAGAGATGCAAGGCAAGGTGATAATTTGGACTTGTGTCCTAATGTCATTATGGAGGCTGGGAAGGCTTTGTGGCCTTTTCATGTTTTGTTTCCCATACAGTTACTGTTTGCTGTAGTTATAATTTGCTATCCTGGCTGGAGAGGTAGTTTGATGGTCACTGACCTCTTTTTGTATGATTTTTCAATATATAGATTTGGAACACCTTTTAAAGTTCCCTGTAAATCCTTTTCTAAATAACAATGGCTATAAAAAAATCCTGCAACCAATTTCTTGTACATGGTGGATGGCCACTGTCAGTGTCCATTTCCACGAGAGCTGTCCCAACATGACTGCTACAGTAAATATTGGTCTTAGATCTCAGAACAAGATGACCCTCTAGAGTCTTCCAGACCGTGTATATGATGCCATCTGTGGGGATTTCGCAGTGCTTTCATTGCTGGGAAGGTGAGCAAAAGTCTAATTGACCCCTGAGGTAAGAAAGGAAATTGTGCCTTGCCACAGAGGTGAATGTGGCAGTGACACTGAGCAGGTCCTGGCCATGTCCTGGTTTGAAAGGTGACTTTGAGCACTGGGAAGCCTCCTCTGAGGGAACCTGAAATCATTCGTAACACAATAGGTCATATCATAGGAGGACTGGAATGGGAATGATATCCTTTTCTGGAGAATAATTGTTACAGACTGGGGGATGGAGGATGCTTAGAGGAAAGCAGGAGGCAGGATGGGCCCAGAGTGTTTCTGCCCAGGATCGTTTCTATGTTCCAAGAGTCTGGTGTTGCAATTCTTCTGCATCATGAGATAATATCTGGTATTGAAATGGCCACAGAGTTCTTTGAAGTTATGAATATCTCCCATCAGAGACAGTCCCTTGTGCTGCCTCTGGCCTGTCATGTGTCATGTGGAAACTGGGTGAGAGTTGGTAACATGAAGAGTGATGAACAATTTTGCTGCTGTTTTGGGAGTATTGTTGTGGGATGGTGGCACTACAAACTGCTTTCCATGTGTATCGTGGAGCATTTATAGCAGCTTCCGCAGCTCTTGCCATGGTGGATCTCTGCTTCATCTCATCAGAGATAATTTTAAGGGCAACTGAAGAGATGGGTTTAATCTGGTGCTATTCTTCCCCTTCTTATGCTCCTGAATGGTCAGTCTGGGTAGAGACGGCGTGTCCTGTTATCACACATGGCTTATTCTGGTGTCTGCATGTGCCCACCAAACCTCCACATCTACAGAGCAGCCCAACGCTGGTTTTGTAGTCTTGAGATTTTCTCACGTAGTTAACATTTTGAGTGCACTTGTGCTTTTGGTGTGATCTCCTGAAGAAGATCTGTGGGGATTTGGATCAGTATTGTTCATTTTTCTAATTACAGAACATTTAAGAACTCGGTTTGTATCTGCTATTGCTGAAAAGGCACAAAGCATCCTGGCATGACGGAAAAGTCAAAGTGTCACAGAATGGACTTGGAGCACTCTGTGTATTTGTGCCAGCCATGGGGGAAAGGAGAGAATTTTTGTATGTCTTTGGGTTTGGGGAGGGAATAGAGACTTTCTGCTTAACTGTGGAGATCCCAGTTCCCAGGGTGTAAGATACAGGATCACAATAGTATCTCGTGAGGATGATTCCACCATACAGTGCTGCTCTTCTGGAATCCTATCAGGTCGTCCAGAAGTTCTGCATAACTTAGGGTACTGTTGTGCTTTCTGGTATTGCTGCTTGAAAAGACATCTGCCCTGTGTGCCTTTAATTACTTGGTTTTGATGTGGAATATGATTTTTCCTATAAGAAACTTTTTGAAATTTGGGTCATGCTGCTGAGAGTTGTCTGAACACTTCTTTGAAATCAGAAGGGAAGAGGAATGGAGGTCTTTCTAAAGAATATGCTGCTACCCGATATCAAAAATTTTGAAGATATGGTAAGACAATTCCCTTTTTGGTAAGGGAAAAGTGAACAGAGGGAGGAAATGGAAGTAAATTGAAAGCTAGAAGAGTGCAGAGAAGGAAGCAGGATGCATATAGAAAAAGAGAGAAGAAAGTAATAGTAGAAGAGAGAGAGAAACGGACAGCCTATAAATGGGTTTACTGCCATATCACCGATACTACCAGTACACAAAAGAACAGAAGAAGGCAACAAAGGAGAGAAAGAAAGAAGGAAAGAAAGAAGATAAAGAAAACCAGACAAAACATGCTACGAAATAATGGCACAATGAGGTAATTAAGAATGGAAGATGAAAAAGAGAAGAAATTTAAAACAGGATTACGCACGGACGTTGCCTAAAAGTGCTGGTCGGATCTGGTTGTCAACAGGTTCTGCCTCGGTTAGAATACTGCGTTCCAGTGCTGATACCACATAATTAAAGTTGGTGGATCCGAATAATTTTGTTTGCAGTGCGGCGCCGGAGGCGGCCGGCGAGGTACTAGATGGGATAAGAAGAGATCATCGGAAAAGGTCCAAAGGATAAAGTATAAAGGAGCAGTGTAAGAAGAAACAGCCGAGCTGACGGCCATGACGGAGCGGAGGCACAGGCGCAGTGTCGGGGCGTGTGAGGCGGCGGAGCAGCGCACGGTGTCGCTGCAGGCTCAGGAACGGCGTGTGGGCGGCTCCGCCCCGGTGCGGCGGAGAGCCCGGCTGTGAGCGCGGGGGGGCGGCGCGGGCCGGGCAGCAGCGCCGGTGCGACCGGGCGGCGGCGGGGAGCCGTGCGGGGCCCGGGCCGGGGCCGGCAGGCAGAGCGGCGGGCAGAGCGGCGGCGGTAGGGATGGAGGAGCGCTGTTGCGCGGCGGTGATGCGGGTGCTGGTGCTGCAGGCGGCCTGGGCGCTGGCGGGCGGGCAGGTGCGCTACTCGGTGCCGGAGGAAGCCAAGGCCGGCACGGTGGTGGGCCGTCTGGCGCAGGACCTGGGCCTGGAGGCGGGCGAGGCGGAGGCGCGGCGGCTGCGGCTGGTGGCGCAGGGCCGGCGGGCGAGCGTGGAGGTGAGCGGGGCGAGCGGCGCGCTGCTGGTGAGCTCGCGGCTCGACCGGGAGGAGCTGTGCGGCAAGAGCGCGCCGTGCGCGCTGCGCCTGGAGGTGCTGCTGGAGCGGCCGCTGCGCGTCTTCCATGTGGAGCTGGAGGTCACCGACATCAACGACAATGCCCCCATCTTCCCCGCCGCCCGCAAAAACCTCAGCATCGCGGAATCCTCTGTGCCGGGGTCTCGTTTCCCGCTGGAGGGCGCGTCGGATGCGGATATCGGAGCGAACGCGCAGCTTTCCTATACACTCAGCCCCAGCGAGCATTTCTCTCTGGATTTGCACCGCAGTGAGGAATATCGAGAATCCCTCTTTTTGGTACTCACGAAATCTCTGGACCGCGAGATGATTCCCGTTCACCGGTTGTTGCTGACAGCGAGTGACGGTGGCCGGCCGTCTCTGACGGGGACAATGGAGCTGGTGATCTCGGTGCTGGACGCAAACGACAATGCGCCCCAATTCAACCAGTCGGTGTATAAAGTGCAGCTACTGGAGAGTGCTGCAGTGGGAACGCTTGTGGCGACGGTGAATGCGACAGATCCGGATTTGGGAAGTAATGGTGAAGTGACATTTAGTGTGAGCAATACTTTTCCTGAAAAGGGGATGAACATTTTCCTTTTAAATGGGAAGACGGGTGAAATTCATCTGGCGGGTACCGTAGACTATGAAGACATTCGGACACATGAGATAGAAGTTGAAGCAACAGATAAGGGGACACCCCCACTGTCGGGTCACTGCAAGGTGGTGGTGGAGGTGCTGGACGTGAACGACAACGCGCCGGAGGTGTGGGTGACGTCGCTGTCGGTGCCGGTGTCGGAGGACGCGTCGGTGGGGACGGTGGTGGCCCTGCTGAGCGTGTCGGACCGGGACTCGGGGGAGAACGGTCGCGTGCGGTGCTGGGTGTGGCCGGCGTCGCCGTTCGGTCTGGAGGCGACGTTCGCGGGCTCGTACTCGCTGGTGCTGCGCGAGGCGCTGGACCGGGAGCGGGTGTCGGAGTACGAGGTGGAGGTGCGTGCGGAGGACGGCGGGGCGCCGGCGCTGGGCGCCCGGCGCGGGCTGCGGGTGCCGGTGTCGGACGTGAACGACAACGCGCCCGCGTTCGCGCAGGCCGTGTACACGGTGCTGGCGCGGGAGAACAACGCGGCGGGCGCGGAGCTGGCGCGGCTGTGGGCGCGGGACCCGGACGAGGCGGGCAACGGGCGCGTCAGCTACTCGGTGTGGGAGGGCGGCGCGGGCGGCGGCGGCGGGTGGCGGGCGGCGTCGAGCTACGTGTCGGTGGACGCGGAGAGCGGGCGTCTGTGGGCGCTGCAGCCGCTGGACTACGAGGAGCTGCAGGTGCTGCAGTTCGAGGTGCGCGCGGTGGACGCGGGGGAGCCGCCGCTGTGGGGCAACGCCACGGTGCAGCTCTTCGTGCTGGACGAGAACGACAACGCGCCGGCGCTGCTGCCGCCCGCGGGCCCGGCACCGGAGGCGGGCGCCGCGGCGGCCGAGGCGGGGGCGGCGGGGGCGGGGGCGGTCTCGGTGTGGGAGCCGGGCACGCTGTGGGCGTGGGCGACGTGGGGGGCGCCGGCGGGGCAGGTGGTGGCGAAGATCCGCGCCGTGGACGCGGACTCGGGCTACAACGCGTGGCTGCGCTACGAGCTGTGGGAGCCGCGGGGCAAGGGCCCGTTCCGCGTGGGGCTCTACAGCGGCGAGGTGAGCACGGCGCGGGCGCTGGACGAGGCGGACGGGCCTCGGCAGAGGCTGCTGATCGTCGTGCGCGACCACGGCGAGCCGGCGCGCTCGGCCACGGCCACGCTCAGCGTGTCGCTGGTGGAGGCCGCCGAGGCGGCGCTGGCCGCGGCCGCGGGATCCTCGGCGTCGTCGTCGGTGTCGCGGTCGGCGGCGGGCGTGGAGCCGGGGCCCGGCGGCGCGGCGAGCGCGGCGACCAACGTGTGGCTGGTGGTGGCCATCTGCGCGGTGTCGAGCCTGTTCCTGCTGGCCGTGGTGCTGTACGTGGCGTCGCGCTGGGCGCCGCGGGCGGCCGTGCTCTCGGGGCCCGGGCCCACGACGCTCGTGTGCGCCAGCGAAGTGGGCAGCTGGTCGTACTCGCAGCGCCACAGCCGCAGCCTGTGCGTGGCGGACGGCGCGGCCAAGAGCGACCTCATGGTTTTCAGCCCCAACTTCCCTCCGCCGCCGCCCGGCCCCGCGCCCAAGGACACGCAGCCGGAGCCCTCCGCGCTCCTCGACACGGTCAGTGGCGATACCCTGCTCGCTTCTATTCTGTCCCCTTTTGCAGCTTGTCTCTCGTTCCATTAGCTGCTTTGTTAGCCGGTCTCCGCCTCCGCAGCCTGAAGGCGACGGGTGCTTTGGTGTGTTAATTTCACCATTGTACTTGCTGCCTCGTCCTTGCAGAGGGAAGGTGTTTCTGTAACCCCTTGTGGTACGCACCTGAAATTTACTGCTGTGGATATTGCTGTGGAATTGTTCTGCCCTAGGATGAATCCTCTGCTGGTTGCAATGAGAGCTGTCCTGTCATGCCGCGATGTTTCAGTTTTGGAGAGAACGTTCCTTCTTGCTGGTTGTGTGGGTTTCCACGAGCTTGCTAAATGTGTGCAGGACAGGCTGTGGTGGTGACAGTCCGTCAGGTGCTGTGTATTTCCTCACTGCCTTTGCTGACTGATGGACCTGGTGGTACCACGTGTGGTTTCTTCCCTGGCCTCATGTTCTCTCATTTGTTCTCTACAAGAGATGCAAGGCAAGGTGATAATTTGGACTTGTGTCCTAATGTCATCATGGAAGCTCGGAAGGCTTTGTGGCCTTTTCATGTTTTGTTTCCCACCCAGTTACTGTTCGCTGTAGTTATAATTTGCTATCCTAGGTGGAGAGGTGGTTTGACGGACAGTGACCCCTTTTTGATATGTTTTTCCAATATTTACCCTTGGAACACCCTTTAAAGTTCCCTGTAAATCCTCTTGTAAATAACAATAACCACAAAAAATCCTACAACTAATTTCTTGTACATGGTGGATGGCCACTGTCAGTGTCCATTTCCATGGGAGCTGTCCCAGCATGACTGCTACAGTAAATATTGGTCTTAGATCGCACAGTAAGATGCACCTGCAGAGTCTTCCAGACCGTGTATATGATGCCATCTGTGGGGATTTCACAGTGCTCTCATTTCTGGGAAGTTGAGCAAAAGTTTAATTGACCCCTGAGGTAAGAAAGGAAATTGTGCCTTGCCACAGAGGTGAATGTGGCAGTGACACTGAGCAGCTCTTGGTCATGTCCTGGTTCGAAAGGTGACTTTGAGCACTGGGAAGCCTCCTCTGAGGGAACCTGAAATCATTCGTAACACAATAGGTCATATCATAGGAGGACTGGAATGGGAATGATATCCTTTTCTGGAGAATAATTGTTACAGACTGGGGGATGGAGGATGCTTAGAGGAAAGCAGGAGGCAGGATGGGCCCAGAGTGTTTCTGCCCAGGATCATTTCTATGTTCCAAGAGTCTGGTGTTGCAATTCTTCTGCATCATGATATAATATCTGGTATTGGAATGGCCACAGAGTCCTTTGAGGTTATGAATATCGCACGTCAGAGACAGTCCCCTGTGCTGCCGCTGGCCTGTCATGTGGAATGGGCTGGGTGACAGTTGGTAACATGCAGAGTGATGAGCAATTTTACTGCTGTTTTGGGAATATTGTTGTGGGAGTGTGGTACTACAAACTGCTTTCCATGTGTATCGTGGAGCATTTATAGCAGCTTCCACAGCTCTTGCCATGATGGATCTTTGCTTCAATCTCATCAGAGATAATTTTTAAGGGCAGTTGAAGAGATGGGCTTAATCTGGTTCTATTCTTCCCCTTCTTGTGCTCCTGCATGATCAGTCTGGGTAGAGATGGCGTGTCCTGTTATCACAAAGGGCTTATTCTGGTGTCTGGATGCGCCCGCCAAATCTCCACATCTACAGAGCTGCGCAGCTCTGGTTTTCTGGTCTTGAAATTCTCTCACGTAGTTAACATTTTGAGTGCACTTGTGCTTTTGGTGTGATCTCTTGAAGAAGATCTGTGGGGATTTGGATCAGTGTTGTTCACGAGTCTAATCACAGAACATTTAAGAACTCGGTTTGTATCTGCTATTGCTGAAAAGGCACAAAGCATCCTGGCATGACAATGAGTCAGAGAATGGATTTGGAGCAGTCTGTATATTTGTGCCAGCCATGGGGGAAAGGAGAGAATTTGAATACATCTTTGGGGTTTGGGGAGGGAATAGAGACTTTCTGCTTAACTGCGGAGATCCCAGTTCCCAGGGTGTAAGATACAGGATCACAATAGAATATCGTGAGGACGATCCCACCATACAGTGCTGCTCTTCTGGTATCCTACGAGGGCGTCCAGAAGTTCTGCATATCTTAGGGTACTGTTGTTCTTCCTGGTATTGCTGCTTGTGAAGACATCTGCCCTGCGTGCCTTTAATTACTTGGTTTTGATGTGGAATATTGTTTGTCGATGAGAAGCTTTTTGAAATCTGGGTCATGCTGCCGTGCCTTCTCTGAACATTTCCTAAAAGTCAAAAGAGATGAGGAATGAGAGCTTTTTCCAAAGAATATGTTACTACACCATGTCAAGAGTGTTGAAGATACGGTAAGTAAAGTCCCTTCTTGGTAAGGGAAAAGTGAACAGAGTGTGGAAATGGAAGTAAATTGAAAGCTAGAAGAGTTCAATGGAGGAAGAAAAGGTGGATATAGAGAAAGAGAAGGGAAAAAAAAAAAAGAAGTAGAAAAGAGAGAGAGCAAGGGAGAAATTATAAATTTGTTTACTGGCACGTCACTGACACTACCCCTATACATAAAAGGGGAAGAATGCGACAAAGGAAATGAAGAAAAGAAGGAAAGGGAGAAGAGAAAGAAAACGGAAAAGAATATGCTACTAAATAATGGCACAGTGAGGAAATGAGGAATTGAAGATGACAAAGAGAAGAAATTTAAAACAGGATTACTCACGGAAGTTGCCTCAAAGTGCTGGCCGGAGCTGGTTGTCAACAGGTTCCGCCTCGGATAGAATACTGCGTTCCAGTGCTGATTCCACATAATTAAAGTTGGTGGATCAGAATAATTTTGTTTGCAGTGCGGCGCCGGAGGCGGCTGGCGAGGTACCAGAAGGGATAATAAGAGAGCATCGGAAAAAGTCCAAAGGATAAAGTATAAAGGAGCAGTAAGAAAAAACAGCAGAGCTGACGGCCATGACGGAACGGAGGCACAGGCGCAGTGTCGGGGCGTGTGAGGCGGCGGAGCAGCGCACGGTGTCGCTGCAGGCTCAGGAACGGCGTGTGGGCGGCTCCGCCCCGGTGCGGCGGAGAGCCCGGCTGTGAGCGCGGGGGGGCGGCGCGGGCCGGGCAGCAGAGCCGGTGCGACCGGGCGGCGGCGGGGAGCCGTGCGGGGCCCGGGCCGGGGCCGGCAGGCAGAGCGGCGGGCAGAGCGGCGGCGGTAGGGATGGAGGAGCGCTGTTGCGCGGCGGTGATGCGGGTGCTGGTGCTGCAGGCGGCCTGGGCGCTGGCGGGCGGGCAGGTGCGCTACTCGGTGCCGGAGGAAGCCAAGGCCGGCACGGTGGTGGGCCGTCTGGCGCAGGACCTGGGCCTGGAGGCGGGCGAGGCGGAGGCGCGGCGGCTGCAGCTGGTGGCGCAGGGCCGGCGGGCGAGCGTGGAGGTGAGCGGGGCGAGCGGCGCGCTGCTGGTGAGCTCGCGGCTCGACCGGGAGGAGCTGTGCGGCAAGAGCGCGCCGTGCGCGCTGCGCCTGGAGGTGCTGCTGGAGCGGCCGCTGCGCGTCTTCCATGTGGAGCTGGAGGTCACCGACATCAACGACAATGCCCCCATCTTCCCCGCCGCCCGCAAAAACCTCAGCATCGCGGAATCCTCTGTGCCGGGGTCTCGTTTCCCGCTGGAGGGCGCGTCGGATGCGGATATCGGAGCGAACGCGCAGCTTTCCTACACACTCAGCCCCAGCGAGCATTTTTCACTCGATGTTAAATCTTCTGATGAAAGCAGGAAGTCTTTGTTTCTGGTACTCGCAAAGTCTTTAGACCGTGAGACGATTCCAGTGCACCAGTTGGTGCTGACGGCGACTGACGGTGGCCGGCCATCTCTGACGGGGACAATGGAGCTGGTGATCTCGGTGCTGGATGCGAACGACAATGCGCCCCAATTCAACCAGTCGGTGTATAAAGTGCAGCTACCGGAGAACTGTACAGAAGGGACGCTTGTAACACGTGTGAATGCCACGGATCCGGACGAAGGGAGCAATAAGGAGTTTTCCTACAGCATCTTGAGTTCGAGTCCTATCGCTAACAAAGAATTCTTTACTATTGACTCCAAGACGGGTGAGATCAGACTGAAGGGTACTTTGGATTTCGAAGACGTTCGTTTACACGAATTGCAAATCGAAGCGACAGATAAAGGAACACCCCCGCTGTCGGGTCACTGCAGCGTGGAGCTGGAGGTGCTGGACGTGAACGACAACGCGCCGGAGGTGTGGGTGACGTCGCTGTCGGTGCCGGTGTCGGAGGACGCGTCGGTGGGGACGGTGGTGGCCCTGCTGAGCGTGTCGGACCGGGACTCGGGGGAGAACGGTCGCGTGCGGTGCTGGGTGTGGCCGGCGTCGCCGTTCGGTCTGGAGGCGACGTTCGCGGGCTCGTACTCGCTGGTGCTGCGCGAGGCGCTGGACCGGGAGCGGGTGTCGGAGTACGAGGTGGAGGTGCGTGCGGAGGACGGCGGGGCGCCGGCGCTGGGCGCCCGGCGCGGGCTGCGGGTGCCGGTGTCGGACGTGAACGACAACGCGCCCGCGTTCGCGCAGGCTGTGTACACGGTGCTGGCGCGGGAGAACAACGCGGCGGGCGCGGAGCTGGCGCGGCTGTGGGCGCGGGACCCGGACGAGGCGGGCAACGGGCGCGTCAGCTACTCGGTGTGGGAGGGCGGCGCGGGCGGCGGCGGCGGGTGGCGGGCGGCGTCGAGCTACGTGTCGGTGGACGCGGAGAGCGGGCGTCTGTGGGCGCTGCAGCCGCTGGACTACGAGGAGCTGCAGGTGCTGCAGTTCGAGGTGCGCGCGGTGGACGCGGGGGAGCCGCCGCTGTGGGGCAACGCCACGGTGCAGCTCTTCGTGCTGGACGAGAACGACAACGCGCCGGCGCTGCTGCCGCCCGCGGGCCCGGCACCGGAGGCGGGCGCCGCGGCGGCCGAGGCGGCGGCGGGGTCGGGGTCGGTCTCGGTGTGGGAGGCGGGCACGCTGTGGGCGTGGGCGGCGTGGGGGGCGCCGGCGGGGCAGGTGGTGGCGAAGATCCGCGCCGTGGACGCGGACTCGGGCTACAACGCGTGGCTGCGCTACGAGCTGTGGGAGCCGCGGGGCAAGGGCCCGTTCCGCGTGGGGCTCTACAGCGGCGAGGTGAGCACGGCGCGGGCGCTGGACGAGGCGGACGGGCCTCGGCAGAGGCTGCTGATCGTCGTGCGCGACCACGGCGAGCCGGCGCGCTCGGCCACGGCCACGCTCAGCGTGTCGCTGGTGGAGGCCGCCGAGGCGGCGCTGGCCGCGGCCGCGGGATCCTCGGCGTCGTCGTCGGTGTCGCGGTCGGCGGCGGGCGTGGAGCCGGGGCCCGGCGGCGCGGCGAGCGCGGCGACCAACGTGTGGCTGGTGGTGGCCATCTGCGCGGTGTCGAGCCTGTTCCTGCTGGCCGTGGTGCTGTACGTGGCGTCGCGCTGGGCGCCGCGGGCGGCCGTGCTCTCGGGGCCCGGGCCCACGACGCTCGTGTGCGCCAGCGAAGTGGGCAGCTGGTCGTACTCGCAGCGCCACAGCCGCAGCCTGTGCGTGGCGGACGGCGCGGCCAAGAGCGACCTCATGGTTTTCAGCCCCAACTTCCCTCCGCCGCCGCCCGGCCCCGCGCCCAAGGACACGCAGCCGGAGCCCTCCGCGCTCCTCGACACGGTCAGTGGTCCTCCCTTTCTCGCTCAGTCCTCTCCTACCCACCCCCTCTGCAGTTGCTGTCTGTTAGCCGGGCTCCGTTCCCTCCCCCGGGGGCGGTCCGTGTTTCATTGTCGTTTACCCTTTGAGTGCTGGTTTAATTATCCCTTTTTTTCGTGGTCTGTTATGTGTTACATCGCAGCAGGTTTTTTATGCCACGGCGATCTTCTCTTCCCCTTATCTTGTTCTGGATTTCAGCTCTGCAAAATACTTAAATGTTGCTGCCCTCGTTGCAAAGTTGAATTAAATACTAGTCTTGTAGCGTCTCGTGTATCTTACATTTTTGATGACACTGAGAATGGAATTCATCTATATGTCTCTTTCTTCTCTATTTTTGTAATTTTAGAACCTTCAGTGGCTGTTTCAGGGAACAGTCACGGTCTGTCTTGAACGCACATCTTTTTCTTTTCTTGGTCTACTCAGATTTGTAGTCCCCTTCACTGAAAATATTTTGCCATTTTCCTCCCCAGGTCTTCAGAGTAATCAGGTCTTTCTGCAGTTCTTTTCAGTAGACCTGTATTTGAACTCTGCTCCATTGGATGATATCTCTTGCAATCTTTGATACTTCACTGTTCATGACTTTCTGAGATCCCCTCATGAGATATTAAATGGAACAATCGTTGAAAAGTTTTCTGCCTGATTGCAATGTTTACCTTATCTTGCTGGTGTTATCAGGTCTGGTTTTCTTCCATCTGTGGTGTTAATCAGAAGTCCGAGTGCCTCTTTTAGTCTTTCATTTAGAATGGACTATCTTCACTTGCCATCATTTCCCTGTCTTACAGGTGGGGCAGTTCTAATTAATTTCTTGACTGCTGTGAAATGCTGGTTTCCAGTCTTTTCTTACTCATAAGTCTGTCCTCCTTTTTGATTCGGTTCTGAAACAGAAATCTATATCTGAAATTCCTGCTTCTTCACAGTGCATGGCATATATTAGTTTGTGAAGCACTACAGAATTACTATGGGCATGAAAAAGAAGTATGTCACATTTCCCCTTCTAAGTATGATTGAAATGCACTTTCTAAGGTAAGGTACTTAACTGCAGAAGAACACAAACCAAAGTAGATGTCAAAATGTGCAGCTGTAGTGGTAGACTGAGCAAGACCTGTTGGTAGAGGACTTGTTTTTTGTGGATTAATGTACTTGTAGAAGCGCCTCAGTTTGATTTCTGGCTTGGGTACTCCCATGTACCCAGCAGTCATAGCCATTGTATTTCTAGGATGTTGTGGGGTTTTGACATTATCTTATTTGTGTTTACTTAATTTTGGTTTTTCCTTCCCCGAGAATACTTTTAAAAATAAACTGTTTTTTTTTGTCCCATTGTGTGCTTGCCTTATGATAAACATGTGAATACTAAGATGGATGATGCTTGAAACTCCCGATTTCCAGAGAGCAATTTAGCTTGACTTTATCAGGAGATGTGTTGGCAATTCTGAACGAAAACCATGCTGCCAAATAATGCTCTTTTATTTCAGAGTCTTTGCCCCTTGCTATCACTGTAGTTCACTGTCTTGTAGTCTCTTAAGGTCAGTTTTACTTCGAGAGAAAGCTGTGAGGCTTCAGGTTTCATTTGTTTCTGCCTTCATAGAAACGAATACAGAAATGCTGGCAATACAGCGGGGATTTGAGAGAATGGAAAAAAACCTATTTGATTTTTCAGCCCTACTTCCTGAAATTTGGAACAGCGATCCTTGAACACAGGCCTGACAATAGACACTTAGAAATAAATCAAGACAACAGTGAGAATAGTAACAGATGTAATTAAAAATATCTACCGAGGGACCTACATGGACTTTTTTAGTGTTTTGTATATTCCTTTTTTTGTTGTTTTTTACCTCTGGGTTCATTCATCGTTGATTCTTCCTGTGATAGAATCAGCAATTTACTAATCTGTGAAATTCTCTGGTTTATATTACTCCCTGGATTACAGGGCAGGGCAGCAGAAGATGCTGTAGCTGTGTAGAGAAGAGGCTCTGATGCATTTATGTCAGTAGATGAGGGGGGAGCCTGGGAACCTGTTATGAGATGAACTGTGCCTTGCCAGAACAGTGGTGCAACCCTTCTATCTCGTCTTCAGTTGTGTCATAGTTGAATGATTCTGCTGTGTCCTGCAGCAGCTCATCTCCATCAGTAACGGGCACATTGTTTTGCTGTACTGTGAGTTTCTACCTGCCTAAAAATGATAACCAAG